CCCCCCCCCCCCCTGTATCGTCCTGCAAATGTTCCTGTGAGCAAACCACACATAAACGCGTAATGAGGGTTTTCCTTTTATTTGAAAACTCGTGTAATCACGTTTATCCTGGTGCAATCCGTTATACCGTTCTTCTCAAGCTACTTTACTATCGTCTCGTGCACGTTTTCCAATATCGTGAAAAACGCGTTCATTGGATAATACGATTACGAGATAAAGGAAGTTCGGTGTATTTGAAATTTATTTCTCTCGATGAAATATGTATATAAAAAAGAAACGAAAAACTGATCACTTACAAACGCATTTCTCGCAGCGGGAAAAAGTGACCAAGAATCAAAATGAAGATACTGATCGACCAACGCGCGCTTCTGCAAATCCTTTGGATACAGAGAATCGTTCTTGCCATATTTGTCCACTAGATAAGTTACAATAGCGTGACTGCAATGAGATTGATATTGATTATCAATTATTTCGATTTAAAATTTAAACGAATAGTTGAAAATTATCGATCACCTGTCAAGAAGAATAAATCCATTGTCGTCCATTACTGGAATCGTGTGCTGAGGATTGACCTGTCAAAACAGAATATAAGTAGAATATCGTGTAGATAAAATTATTATTTTTTAAGCGATTCTATCGTTAATAGAATTAACAATCAGATCTTGATGAAATTTGATATGCTGTTAGGTAAATCTTTTTAAAAAGCTATGCTTTTTAAAAACTGAGGATACCTAAGAACAAATTTATTCAAAATTTTATTTTTTCGTATTTTACATGACCTATGAGAAACGGCATGTTCGTTGTTACATTTACGTGATAAGATTTTTATCTGCGTAATTACGTTCTCGCTATATCTTATCTGATTATCTGATTACCAAGTGCTTCACACTTTATATAAGACGCAGCATAAACAATGTTAAATAACTTTTTCCTTAAGCACGATCTTTAACAATTTAACTACATTTTTTCAAAGCTTCAGTAGTATACTAAATGTTATTAAAATCTGATTGTTAATTCTATTATCGATAGAACTCTTTTATAATACTTAAGAGAAATTCATACTTTTCGGAATTCTTCCGACAACTGCTCCTTGTTCTTTAGATTCACCTCTCGAATCTCGAGATCCAATCCAAGCTGGTGTGCCACTATCAAAACTGTGCGGCATGGTGGACTAATGTCCTGCGCGTAAAGGACGACTTTCGGCATTTTCTTCTAACTGCAAAAAGTAACCAAGTTGTTCATATGTAATTATGTGTACATATTTTCAACATTATACGAACGAGAAAAGTGCAACTCATTTCGACATGGTAACATGACATGTTCTTGTAAAATAACAGATTCTAATAATATTCTCCCTTCTCCGAACTCATAAACTTTCCTATATGTACATACCGAAGCAACAATAATAGTGATTCACATTTTACTTAAAATTAGAAGTATTTCTTGCGTTTTTTATTACTTATACTTTACCACAGACATAGAAAACATAAAATGTGTGATTCTAATTTGCAAAGGTGAGATTGTTTTCTGAGAAGACTCTTTTTATTGTAAATAATGCAGCCTCCAGAAAAGAACAACAAGCCATCTCAAAAGGCAATCTATCTTTACTATGTCAATATATTTCATCGCTATGAATGCTTCGTATATTTATTTTGAAGTATGAGAAGAAAAGACAGTGACGCTTTGAAAAGTAATATTTTGAAGATTGATAGCTCTCTAAATCAAATCGGTAACAACTCGTGAGTAACGTTTTCATCCGAATGACAGAAATCTCGACGACTGCCCAACAAAAGGAGCAACATCAATTTTTAATAAAAAAAAAAGAGTCATGTATTCTCCTATTGCACGTTATTTCTATTCATTACAAAATACTGTATCTAAATCCGCTCACAGTTTAGATCAATGTTAAATCTCATGTCACGATCAACACAACCCGGAAGAAATAGGCGTGTACGGTGACGCAGTATAGAGGCAGTTTTATTAGAGTTATCGAAACAAGAATTACACTGGAAGAATAATATCGAGCTTTCTACGATATTTAAATAAATCGGTGTTAAAATATCGTCTTAATTACGATTTACGACTTTTAATTCGTCACTGAACGTATTTATTTTTTTTTTATACTCACATTGAAACTCGTTCCAACTCTTCTGCTATACCGCGCGGGACATTTGCTTTTATGCTAACGGCAGTTGTAACGATCAGCGCTAATCGCGCATACGCCACGGCATTGAAAAACCGGATTGGCAGGGATCTCAGAATTTATTCCTCGGCCGGAAAGTGGGGACGACGCGACCATGGTCGGGACTGGTACTTGATGGATTCGCTTCGCGAAGGCGCATGAGGAGAATAGTAGTGGGGATCGAAATACGGGCGAAAAAGAGGGGAAACGAACCGTGCGAGATAAACTCTAAGGGATTGGTCATCATTTGATAGCGCCAATGGAAGTCGTATACGTAACGTGTAATACAATCGTGACTTGCTAGTAACAGTCATGATGAAAAAAGTAGTTGCACTGACAAGCATGTTCAGGATTCTCACCTTGTAAAACCTTGCATTTGCATGCTATGTACCTCGGCAGCAACTATTGCATATTGTTCAATGATAAGCGAATAACTCATTTCTGCACGTATCCAAAAATAGAATACGACTAATACGTAAACTTCGTAATGAATTTACCTAGTAGTTGCACATTTTTTAAGAACAAGCTCGCGTTTTAAATCATATTATATACAATATAATTAAATCGATCGAGTAACAAAACAATTCTCTCGAGATGAAAAGACAACAGGTAGAGCAGGTGGGAGCAGTCGAGGTAGTTGAAGAGAGTATGAAAAAGTTCGGTAATGAATATTTTGCGGGTGATTTTAAAATGTATTTCAAAAAACTTATCAGGCGGACGCGCTACGCCAATGCGCACACCTGTTGCATTACTCTTGCCGCGGATGCTGGATTATACGTATATTGGCAACAGATATAATCGCGTGTAATGTCAGGGACAGTACTAGTTGGTGACAGAATAATCTCCTAAATGAGGGGTCAATGTTACGCAACGCTTCAATGGTCCTCGTATCAATATGTTTTAAGCAAGATGCATGGATAGAAGGAGAATTCGTCTGCATGCCATTTGAGCCCACATTTAATATGATATAAATAATAAACCGATATTTTATTATTAGTCCTCACTGTCATTTTTCTCGTTAGTAAAAAATAAAAAATGGAAAACTCTGTTTCGTAATAGATAGCTCATAGGTCAGCTACTGTACCACATGCGACATCTTCTACGTCGATCTCGTTACTACGATAACCCGAAGACTTTGCTACACGGTGTCTTCCATCGGGTAACGTACATCAGATACACGTACAATCAATAATTAGGGAAAATGTATTTTTAATTCTAAACGTCATCTCAGTATCGAGAGAAACGTGACTAAACGTTTACGCATCCGAATAAGAGATTATCATTCGGGGTGAAACGTGGTCGAAAATTATTTCTATTTATTGAACAGACGAAAAATCACTACTCAATAATTATAGAAATTAAATTATGGAGTTATACTATTTTCACATATTTAATTGATGAAAAAGCTGGCTCGCTTTTCACGATCGCGTAACTATTTATCGCGAGTGTTAGACGATGTAACATCCAGGCAACTTCGATCGCGCGGTCGAGATTGCATAATAAAAATCTCGAGAAACTTTAGATCATTTGCTAGATGGTTTTCGCGTGCGGAATCACTTGAAGAAGCCATGATTATCAATCGTTTCATTCATATACCCTCGCTCTTAGAAACAAGAGGGATACTTGGACGAGTCCGGTGGTCATTCAGTTTTTAGTCGCGGCTCAACCACCTCGCCGACAGCATGCCTCGCTTGTTGTCATTCGTGCGAACGAGAAGTGTTCATTGATAGTTAACGAAATGTCAACCTGAAACGGGATCAAGGAAGTGAACCGTTGGTGCAACTCATCGTGCCGTTTAATTGTTCGATTTGATTCGCCGATTTTCCTTGCGAGACTGACGGAGCGTCGCGTGCGAACTTTCAAATTCGGAAATTACGTGATCATCCCGAAGAGAGCACGACTGCCAGTAAAAATGGCTTGCCCTTTATCAGACGGTATCTCGTAAGTAATTTTTACAGATTTCCCGAGCGTGTCGTGCAATACGCACGATGCAGTAATGACGCACTTAAATCGTAAAACTTTAATTATCAGATTATTACATCTAAACAAATTTTAATTACGTCACACTTTACATACGAAAATAGGAAACGATTGAAAATAAATGTTCAGAATTGGTAGAAACTGATTCATATTTTTAGGGATGATCAAGAATCTGATCAAATGACCGATAGCCCGGGCATGCTCTACGGTGAATACCTTCGATTGGACAAAATTTTAACTGCACAAAGACTGTTAAGCGCTGAATACAACACAGAAGTGCACGATGAGCATCTTTTTATCATCACTCATCAGGGTAAAAAAATCGATTATTTCTCAACATCCATATTTAATAAACATAAATCCTATTACACAACAGCGATGGATCGCTAGCCTACGCTTTCTCTGTCTAACATTAATGCAATCTTAAATTACGATACTTTAGATACCAGAATTAATATCATCACTCGCAATATTTTACAGTAATTTATTAATTTAACAAATTAAATGAGTACAAAATTCTCGGCGAATCAAAAATGATTGAGCAGAACGATTTGATAAAAAAAACCTGTGCATCCCTCCCATTGATTCACAGCATACGAGCTCTGGTTCAAGCAGATCATATACGAACTGGACTCGGTCAGGCTGCTTTTTAATTCCGATCACAGCGGATATGACTCTTTGAATGGCACCTCGAAGAATCACAGTGGCGTTCAGAAAAACGGGGTCTCGCAGATTTTGAACGAGTCGAGGACCCTGGAAATTCTAAAGAGATTGAACCGCATCGTTCTCATCTTAAAAGTAGGTGATACCAGTAGCTCTCCTTGAAACAATCGTGTTTCATCGTAGAATAAGGATCAATGAACAATTACTCAGCGTTCAAAGATTGAAAGTAAAATGGTTAAACACCCACCGCAACGGCAAGCGCATCGCTGAGGTAATCGTGTAAGATAGAGTATGGGAAAAGAAGGCCACTGGTCGTACGTTGACAATGACAGTGATGGGAGGAATGTGAACAACCCTTAATCACAAGCCAATTAGAGCATCGAGATTTACGACAAGGGTGCTAACTCCCCGCTGACTGTAATCGAATTTCGAACGTCACCCTTCAAGACTGTCATATGTCCCACTTTGTCTACCGCGAAATACAAGCTGCCACCAATGAGATACGAAACGTTAACGATAATACGTAGGTGACAATATTCGTAGGCACTTCTTGATAGCGAAGAAAAAAACAACCCGTTATTCGCGCATAAGAGTTTTTTTCATTTTGCTCTTAAGATCTCGTATACGTGATCAGCGAACGATCATGTATTAATTGTTTTGCACGTTTTTAATTCCACACGAATGTTATCAAACGGGTCAAGGTTCTCGGGAATGCGACACTTTTTCGTTACTATCACTTTTCTCCTTCTGTTTCATGACGGGATAAGAAGCATTGTGAGAACCACAGAAACAGTGGGATCTAAGTAAATTAATACCGCCAGGTGATATGCGACACCCCGTTCTGACACGCATAGATGAGTTAGGTAACAAGCTCGTTGGCGCTCTTTCTACACCACAGAATACAGGCGTGGTCGTCGCATTTTCTCCGCTCGCGCTCCTCTTATGTCGAAAAAATTATCCAACAGGGTTAAGTAAGTGGGACTTAATTCGAGGCGTAAAACAGTATCCTTCCGCGATGGTCAGTCCAGAAATTAAACTTTCTCGGAGAAAGAATAATGAAGCAATGTGGTCAAATATTACCGCGACGAATACATGCAGGTTTTCATTTATCCCGTTTATCCCAATTTGATCGTGTAAGAAAATCATGGAAATAAATTATTACCGTCGCATTGCACGCGCTGGTAATTGCATCCTTCCCGGTAGAATGGGTAGAAATATAAGTATGGCAACCATATAAATGCGGATGCGGCCGCCGTGCACGTCGACTCGAGAAGATCGATTGGGTACCTGCATGGAAAAGCAACAGCAGGAATTAAGGGATTACGTTTATTCAATATCGAAAAAACTAACTATCTGTATTAGGGAACCGAAGGGATTTAATCCCATCCGAATTTTCCAGCTCCTGGTCGACCAGGTGTCCATTTTAGAAACCATGACGCCGTTAGATTTCATGGCGTTCAGGGATTATCTCTGTCCAGCCTCCGGCTTTCAATCGCTGCAGTTCCGTTTATTGGAGAACAAGCTAGGCGTAAAGCAGGAACACAGAGTCAAATACAATCAGAGTTACCACAGAGTGTTCGGCAGAGACCCGAAAGCTATCGAGGCGATCAAACGCTCGGAGGATGAGCCCAGCCTCAGTTGTCTAGTTCAAAAATGGTTAGCGAGGACACCGGGTCTCGAAGCTCACGACTTCGACTTCTGGGGAAAGTACAAACGATCCGTGGAGAAGCTGCTCGTCGAGCAAGAGCAGCTCGCCTGGGTAAATTATTTGTCCCCGAATGCGAGCAACTTTGTCACGCTGGAAAGTTATTCTGATTATCGCTTTTATAGAAACACGCTAAGGAACAATTGCGGAATTATCATTTAGCGAATGCACGTTCTCGAAAGGCGGTGTTCGAGACTATATTCAACGAATCTCTGCACAACGCGCTCGTGTCGCGCGGTGAAAGAAAATTCGCGTACGGCGCTCTCCAAGGCGCGGTGATGATAACGCTTTATCGGGACGAACCCAGATTTAGTCAACCTCATCAGATTTTGACCGCGCTAATGGACATCGATTCTCTTATCACCAAATGGAGGTGTAAGAAGAACTGTTCATTAAATTTATTCAAATGATTTCCAAATACACGAAGTAATTGTGATAATGTCGTTCTACTCGTACAGATAATCATGTTTTAATGGTTCAAAGAATGATTGGATCTCAGCAGCTCGGAACCGGAGGCTCTAGCGGTTATCAATATTTAAAATCCACTCTGAGGTAAGATATACGAAAAAATATAATAGGAGAAAAGCTGTTTTCACTAATTAGTATACTTCGATAATAGCGACAGATATAAAGTATTTCTGGATTTATTCAATCTGTCAACATTTTTGATACCTCGCCACTTAATTCCACCGCTGACTAAACAAATGAAGACCAGATTATCCGTCGCGTGGAACGGATGGAATCCCGATGACAATCAAAATAATTCAGAATGTACATTGGACGATACGTAAGCAGCTTGTTACGGATCGACGAAATGCTAATTAGACGTAATATATTTTTTATAGGGCATGTAAGGAAAGCTTAGGAAATAGGTAGAAGCATAAGTATAGGTAATATAAATCTTTATTTTTATTTGTCGCTTAACACGTAATAAAACGAGTAAAAGAACATACAAATGACCGCATATGGTAGATAATAAACATACGATATATATATAATACTAATGTAAAAATTGTGTCAATTGTGTAACAAACATCGAAAATACAGTTTAACTAATGTTGTTGTTATTAAAATTATTGTCGTTTCTCAAAGTATTCCAGCACATTTCTTATAGATCGTGAATATTTTATTTGAACATCTGTACTCGAGTTAATTAAGTCTAAAGAGTGTCCAACGACGAAACTTGATTCGCTATACCTGTTAACAAGAAAAGAATGAATGTCGATAACACGCGAACATTGGCTACCGATGTAACGAGTATACCTACCGCATAAATTACTCCCGATTCCTATGTACATGTAGCCTTTGTCACCGAAGTTCGAACCCCATGAATTTTTCACGATGTAATGAGGTATGGCAGCCGACTTGTCGTACCCTACTATTTGTACAGCATGATTCAAACTGTCGAAGGACCCATCGCAATGGTACTGTATTATCCCGCCTAAATAATTTTGCCAGGATAAAGCATTCACCGCCGCTGCTACCGGCCCGTGAGTAGCCAGTGCTATCAGCAGTTCATCCTCTGCGTCTACGAAACTAAAGTCCGTTAAACCTTTAATCGTCTTAACGACAAATTACGGCTGCAGACGAATTATTATTATTCGCTGTAGACTAACTTGTAAACCACTTTTAAATGTCTGTAGACAAACGAATAGAAAATTTGTATCGAACATCTCTCCTTGAAGAGGAGAGAAGAAATCACGATCCGTGCGCCGCATTTAAATTCAATGACATCGAGCGCGTAGATAGTGTCCATCGCAAGAATACCATCGAACCGGTCGGTTTATGTAACGACACCTTTTACAATTAATTGCATGCAAGAAAACCGCGCGCCAATAGACAAAAATATGATAGACATCATTGAATCTTTGTTATTTAAATCCTTCATTAGTGGTCACATGCGTCTATTAAAAATACTTGTTTTTCTCTAAATGTAGAGAATATTTTTACCTGTCGCACGTGAAATCTTTTATTCTTACACCAGACGTTTTGTCCGTCGTTCTGCAAAAATGTTGTAATCAATCATCGGTCTTTTATTAACATACGCAGGACCATTCTGGTTGTACTTACTTCCCCAACTTACACGTACCCGTCTTTCCCACGAGTGGGTAAGTAGATTCTTGAAATATTTGAACTTTCGTCGCTAACAACCACGAGAGTAAGCTGCATATGTCTCCTCCATCACAACCGAAATTACTGTTTTTTGCGCAATCGATCATCTGTACAAAAGTCGAGAAAATATTGTATAATGTTCTTTATCGCATGTGAAAGCAATTCGAATTGAAGAACATACTTCTTGCACGCTTAACGGATGTAAAGTACCATTTTTTATGGCAAACATTGATTCAGCAACTTCAACGGTACTGAAAGCCCAACAGGCACCGCAAGATCCTTGACTTCGTACCGGAGTTACTACTCCCTTATCTCTCCAATCGAATCTCAAGGGTACACTAGCTGATCTTTTAGCGCGATTTGTGTGTTGATGCCGTCGATGATAAGGTAAATTTACGTGTTTTCTCCCTAATACATACAAATACCTTTATATTTATATTACTTATTAATAGCCCGTATACTCGTATTCTGAGTGATCTTAGGAAATTGTTTTTCTTTCGTAAGATTTTATTTCTCACCTCTTGCTGGGAGATCAGGTAAGAGAGCTTTCGCCAAAAATTCGTCCTCTGACATATCAGAGAACTCCGTAAGCCCGTAATAAGCACTTTCCTGCGACGAACGGAGACCATTCATTTTTTCTATGTGTTGCAACGATCTCTGCAATAGAAGGATTATGTAAAAGTTGTAGGTCACATGAAACGTATTCTTTATTTTATATTCTTGCGATTACTATTTTAAATTTATAATGATATTTCATATTATCGTTCTCTTTTGTGACTTATTGAATTTGCATTATTGTGCAATTTAATTTATCGAATTTATTGTGCAATAATCAATTTCGGCAAATATTTATGTTAGTACCACGTTATGAAAACAACTTATCCTTATCTGAATGGATATCACGGTTTTGAAGTTTCTTAAAAAAAAAGTAGATAAAATAAAAAAGAAAAGATAGCGCGGAAAAGTTTTTTAAGTGTGTCTATATTAACGATTGTTGAAATCGTACAAATCGCATCCATCACGCGACGTACCAGTACTCATCGTGCCATTCACGTATCATTTTCTTCTTTTTTTCAATCAAGAATAAGATATAAAAATAATTTAATAACGTGTAAAATATCTCTCGAATACTTTGGAACTTAGCATTTTTTACAGATGTGTAATAAATACGTTTCGCAGCTGATAGCTTACTTGAAATCGACCAAATCTCGTCTCGTATTCAGTGGGATCATCTCTGTAGGATTTATTGTAGCGCGTGACATAATTCTTGAAAAGTTTTACGTCTTCTTCAAGACTATCGCGCCGTACACGAATCGGTATTACGAAGAAACATAAACTCACGATCAACACTGTAAGCGCTACCTTTCTCCACTCCATGTCGAGGGCGAAACATAATTCCGGGACGCAGTGCAATTCACAGTAGAATAATGAACATGTACACAACTGTATCTTCGTTGATGACTGAATATGCAATGCACACGTATTTGCTTACAACGCGCGTAACTATAAACCACGATGTGCTTGTGTGTTCGATAACGCCAGGGCCGTAAGAAACAAATTTAATTAGTTTTCTGTTACCAATTGACATTTTACACGTACGTTTTAAACGAAAGAAATTAAAGTACAACAGCATTCATTATATGAAATCGTTTTCTTATTCCTAAACCCTTTTTCAGTCAAATTGAAAATAATATTTGATTTTTGTATAATAGATAAAAGTTAAAATTGCATATATTTATTTTTCTACATATCAGGAATACTTGTTTGATGAAACAAAGAATGTACTAGGGCTCGATGTTTCATTTTCCATTTGTAAATATTATTCAAAAGAAGACTTCTAAATATTTCGTTGCATGCATTTAAAAATGTATTTCAAATTCAAATGCTCTATGATTTTTTAATCTTTGGCGCTTCAGTATAATCTCTCGTCGGTGGTACTGACTACATCTCATCAGAGGGCACTCTTGTCGCGTTAACAGAATATTGCATCGATTAGTATCACTCAAACGGTTATACTCTACTTCCGCTTCCAGTCAAGCTTGGTCAAGCCCTTTACATTCTCGGTTCCTTTCGTACCGCCAGCATAAAACATGGACAATCGTTCTATTTCAAAGAAGCGAAAGGTTTGTGAATTTCCACCGTCTATGCCCTTTAGTTTAAAAAACTATGATGTCCGCTACAATAACTGAAGTTTGAAAATGAATATTTTAATAAAAAATAAGCAGGAATGACACGTGAAAGTTTTAGATGACATGGATGCTCTCAGATGTTTTCGTTCGATTTACGTACACGTATTTAATTGTAAATATTTGCACTTAAATGCGTACAACCATTACGCGGATTGTCAAGTAAAACTAAATTCAGTGATTGAGATAAGACTATTTTCAATGCAACGAAAATTATATTTATGTCAATAAACTTTTTAGATCTGAATATAGACTTGTTAAATCGGTCCCTGGGTATAATAATATGAACAATAATTTTTCTTAGTTCGTTGGAGATGGAGTCTTCAAAGCTGAATTGAACGAGTTCCTGACTCGTGAACTTTCTGAAGATGGGTATTCAGGAGTAGAAGTACGTGTTACTCCACATCGTACAGAGATCATTTTGCTGGCGACTCACACACAAAGTGTTCTCGGAGAGAAAGGCCGCAGGATCCGAGAATTGACCTCAGTCGTGCAAAAACGATTCAATTTTAAGGAAACACAAAATATCGAATTATATGCCGAGAAGGTTGCAACCCGTGGCCTCTGTGCTATTGCGCAAGCAGAATCCTTACGCTTCAAGTTAATTGGAGGGCTTGCTGTGCGAAGGTTGGTTTAATAGTTAACAAATGATTTGAAGGTTTTTAATATTTTATTACTTCCATTTGTTTGCAGAGCTTGCTATGGAGTTCTCCGATTCATAATGGAATCAGGAGCAAAAGGCTGTGAAGTAGTTGTCAGTGGAAAACTCCGTGGACAGAGAGCAAAATCAATGAAATTCGTTGATGGGTTAATGATCCACTCTGGAGAACCCACTAATGAATATGTCAACACTGCGACCCGCCATGTGCTTCTTAGACAAGGTATATTTAATCGAACCATTAAAAACGCTGATGGCAAGAGTAGAAGTGATTATTAATGTAAATGATTGTCTTTAATCAGGTGTACTTGGAATCAAAGTGAAAATTATGCTCCCGTACGATCCTCACGGTAAGACAGGTCCGAAGAAACCACTTCCAGATTCTGTTTCAATTGTTGAGCCGAAGGATGAAATATTTCCTTCTCAGCCAACTTCTGAAGTGAAGGCATCGAAAGACTTACCACAGCCGACACCACTCACAGTATAATTTTTATTCAAATTAAAATAAAACTTTTAAAACAAACATTACTTTATTCTCTCTTTAATATCATTATTATCCAACAAGAATAACAAAAACAAACATAAAACATTCTGTCGTATAATCACAACATAAGAAATATTTAATTTTATTTATTTATTTATGGAAATTTCACAAATGTAATGCACTTACTATAGAATTGTTTCAATTGGTTTAAAGATAATTAATATTAACATAATTCATTTTGCAAATACGATTAAATATAGTTAACTAAATACTGTCTCACCGCAAAATCCTAATAACCCGTATCCATATTAAAATTGAAGAATTGTACTTCAACACCGATAAGCCTTTACCAGACAAAGTGAAGTGTGTTAATATAAATAGCAACTAAAAACATACGAAAATACAGAATATTTATAAAAAAAATGGTGAAATTACACAGACATTTATCTAATTTTATTTGTACTTGCTGCCAATGATAAATGCTTAGAGATCGAAGTTTGATATGTGTCACGTTCCTCTACCTATACCGTTTTTATTACGATGCACATCTAAGCTATATTGTCATTATTTTGTATATTATACTTAACAGGGGCATTGACAAAAAATGTAGAGGATTTATCTGTGTACCATTCTTTTATGAATACTCTATACATGTCATAGCGTGAATTACATTCATTATCCTCTTCACTGTGTGTAACGATATCAATTTGTTCTTATTCAATACATAATTATTATTTAATAAAATGAAAGAAAACCGGAACAAAATAAATGTTACTAATATTGATTGTAAGTTAATACTATGTACTCATTCAGAATGATTTAAAGTTCTAAGTAAAAATCTTGTAAATTGATATTATGCCTGCCACAGAGTATTAAAAATCTAGTTCATCAATTTATATTAATATTCTGATTCGTGGTGAATAAATTCTAAACCTAACTTTACTAACATTGTATGCAATAGTTCCGAAATCGTTACAGAAACGAGCACTAGGTGTTCATCGAGAAAACTTATTTGATTCTTCCCATATACATTTGAAACGAAAAATTATAATTCTTTTACATTTGCATTTGTCCTGTTACTCGATTGTATGAAATTATTACGTATTACGTATGGACCCTAGACTTCTAGGAAATCTGTTCTGATAATTCAATATATCTCTAACACGAGAAATTACTGACGAACAGGAGCCATCTGTTGTGTAAGTGACAACAATCCTTCAATAATTCGTCGCACTATAACTGGGACCGTCGGCTTTCTTGAAATTGAGCTCAACGCATTTCTGATCTCATAGAACACATTGCGCGTAAATGGATTTCTCTGGGACGCAAGGCGGAACTTCAAGAATTGGAAGTAAATAAATGGCGTCAATAAACCAGCACGTCCCCTGTAAAAAGAAAATTACATCCCGTAGACTGTGTTTTTGCAGCGTTTGCTTATGAAGATTAGAACATGTCATATAAGACATGTATGTATGATAAGTGTACATCATACGTACATAAACACGAGAAGAACTGTGAATGGCAAGATAATTATCTCAGCTAGAGCACAAAAGCGCAAAATTACTCGTGATTGAAATTCCACCAAGGATATTAAAAGACGTGCTCCCCACCAACTGTTTTGTCCTAGGCACTAATTATAACAAAGCGAAATAAATATTCATTATCATAATGACCGTGCACATTATGATTCAGCATTATGAGACAAAATTTTTTACTTACATCTAGCAGCACGAAAGAATAGCTAGCGAAATGCATCAGTCCAAACAAAAATATAGGAGTTAACACCACTAATTAGGAAGTTAAGAAAAATAATTAAATCCCGCACGATATAATAAATTTGCCTATTAATCACAGTCTTATATGTTACTAAATAGAAAGGATACATGTCATAGGTGCTGCATATAAGAATATTAAAGAATAAAATATATAATGGAAGGAATCTTCAAGTAGCAAATGTTCCAAGAATTGTCTGTTAAATTGAACACGTGGTATCCTTTGATGAAGACGTAACGCACTGGTTGCGGCATTACTCATTAAAGCCTTATAGTAAAGATTATAAGAATTGCTGAAAAATATAAAACGTGCCGTTTAATTTATCGTTTTACACAAGCATACGATAGAATAGAATAACATACCCAAATATAGGAATGATATAACCAATAGTAAATATAATAGTGAATAGTCTTGTAAGCCATAATCCAAAATTGATCTTATTATCAATCACATGTTGCTTCAAAGCAGCCCAATCCGTCTTGTGTACCGAATTATTAGTAGGTGTAGCATTTGCTGTATCTGCCATTCTACACATTCAAACAAAATGTAAACTGTATCTTGTATTCTAAAGTATTGTTGTAAAATATTTTGCTTCGAATTCGGAATACATAGCTCTCTAAAGACAAAATATGTTAAAAATATGTTAGAAATGTAAGTTGTGTCCTATTTTCTAAAGTGAAAGCATGTAATTTAAATGAGATATTAAATATACGTTGCCTGAAATATGTTCAAGGCCTCTTAATGACCTTGTTAAACATGAAAACTGTTAATACTGCAACTTTTCTTTGGCAATATTATTGATGATGAGTATGAGAAGTACTTAGTTTACGTTCCTAAATAAATATTTAACCTCATTCGGTTTTATGAAAAATTTCTATTTGCAAATGAAGCTAAATCAATGGAGAAATTATTGTCCTCCTCGTAAAATTGTTTAAAATAAGCAACTTACTTCTCCGAACTAGTGTGTTTAAAACTCTCAGTTTCTAAAAACACTCGCACCACAAAATTACAATGAATCCAATAAGCTAGCTAGAACATTCACGTAAAGTAAATTCACTACCTACGTATTATTTTCTCACGTATGTATATGTGCGTACTGTGTAGTTAATAATTACCTGAGTTTCATTTTTCAGATTTCTAATTCCTCTGACAGATGGTGCGGGCAATACAGTGCGTAACGCGATCTATCAACATTTTATAGTAACTATAAAATGTTATAAAACAAAGACTTTTAAAGAAAACGAATACGTTTACGAATCGGTGTTACTGCTTCATAATCGTTACATATTAAAAACTTACATTTTCAACGATGCAATCATTACATATCTTATCTCCTACAATGTAAATATCTCTCTAAAAGTACTTTTATCATCGAAGTCTGTCATATTGATTGATGTTCCTTTATTTTTTACTTAAGCGAGCTACTGTTGCACATGTTCTGTGTTGTATTATACAATGTTCTATCATTTAATTAATACAGACATATTTTGGAAGAACGGTTATTAACAAATATACTATTACATATTCGAAAATGTCTGAAAATTATTATTCATTGTCAGATCAAGAAACATTTAATCGAAGAAATTTGTATGCATTCCATGTATGTACATTTGAACGTAATACGATTCTAAAAATAAAAAAGATTGGACATTTCATTGCCTCATACTCATTTTATCTAGAAACGTGTATATGTGTAATAAACTGAATATAGTTCTAGGAGCGAACAAATTGTATCCTAACAATTATGTATTTATGTATTATCAAGGTCCAGTTTCCTTTTTCAAATAGAATCATATAATTACTTGCTAATTATACTATGTAATCTCCATGACATAAATACTTGACAATCGAAGAATATGTATAACATTACAAAGTAACGGTAAAAAGTACATTCTTCAACTGCATGCCGAAGTATACTGAAATAGTACACGTGGAAGAGCGAGAATATTTAACGCATTCAATTTTACTTACAATTAATTCTGTGCTTATCACTAGGAATAAAATATAAGTTTTATATTGCGTATTGACGATAGTAATTAATGTGAATTTTTATGTGTATTTAAAATAGTAAACGTAGGAGAATGCTGTTCGTCGGTTCAGTTTGTGCTATAATTGCTAGCTGTATCATGTACCGTAACTTCCGAGAAAGTTGGCCCCTCACGGTCGAAAAATTCTTATGCGAGGTAAAATATGCCCTGCTTGCTGGTAAAGAAATATTATACGATTGGATAAATGCAAAAATGAATAAAAATGGTGAGTGCGATAAGATATTTTCCATATACCTGCAAAATTGTTAATGCTCCAAAGATTTTGAAAGTACGTACTCGCGCGCGTTTAATCAACGATTTCTCTTTTTCAATGATTTACCTGTTTTCAATTAAAAAAATTTCTACATAAAAGAGAAATCATAAATGAAAAAGTACGACATGAAATCTTATTTTTTAATTAGGAAACAATAATAAGTATAATATAGAGGATATCAACGAAATGTCTGTAATTGTTTTATATATGTATATATATATATAATCTTTCATTTTTTAAGATTGTTCGTTACAATCAGGAAGAATTGCAATTATAACTGGAGGGTCCAGAGGAATTGGATTTGAAGTAGTACAAATGCTTTTAGAACTTGATATGGAAGTTATAATTGGTATGCTTTATCTTAGATTTCTCATGGAACTATTCTAGTTGTTTGTGAAAATTCTAAAATAGCTATTCAGCTTGTAGGACACCTTCTGCAGGTGAGAAAGCTATTCTTAAAATTAGAGAATCTGGTGTTAATACTGGGAGAGCAAAAGTGTATAAACTTGACAATGCCTCATTGGAATCTGTAAGACAATTTGCTGGAGAAATTAAGAAGGATTACAAACAAATTCATATTTTGATTAACAATGGTAGGACAGTTACAAGTGTATATGACCGTAAATGTGTAAGAAATTATGACATTAATATTATTTAATTATTTGTAGCTGGTGTCATGTTTTGTCCCTATCAAGAAACAGAAGATGGTTTTGAACAACAATGGGCTGTTAATTATTTGTCACACTTTTTGCTGACGGCGCTTTTGTTACCACTCTTGAAAGCTGGAGGAACTCCTGAAAAGTCTGCTCGGATTGTTAACGTTACGTCTTGTGCACAGATGTTGGGTAAAATGAATTTCATTGACATCAATCACAAGTACTGTATCATTATTCTATTTTAAATCAACGTAAATTCATTCTAATTTATTGTATTAATACGATATTTTGTCTATTCAAAAGAAACAAGTTCATCAGTGGATATGCATATGCACAAAGCAAACTGGCACAAGAAATATTCACGAAAGGATTGCAAAATCTTCTGAACGAAAAAGAATATCGCGTGCAAGTTTATTCCGTGCACCCTGGTTTAGTATATACAGAACTTTTTATACATTCGTACGTTTGGAGATACAAATTACTATTTCAACCGTTCTTCAAGGTGAATATATTACGCAAAATATCACAATTAATGTACATGTTAAAACATTGCGAAACTTATTTTTAGACTCCAAAGCAAGGAGCTATTTCAATCGTGTATGCAGCTGCAAATGAGAATGTGGAAAACAGCGGTGGAATATACATTAGTAATTGTCGTCCTAGCCCGGTTCATCCAGATGCGTTAAACTTGTCTATTCAAACAAAATTATTCGATCTATCCCTCCAACAAGTACAGCTAAATGATTTCTTTCAACATGTATAATGCACGCACAGTATTATTAACATTTTACTTAATTGAAAAAACCTAAATAATAAAATTGTGCAGGTTTAGTCATATTTGAANGAAGATATTATACAGATGTAATATATATTTCTAACTTATTTATTTATTTTGTATTATATACGCGCGTGTGTAAAATCTGAAGTGAACACATGGAGCACTTATGTAATGACAAAATATAGCTTGATGAAATTTTATAACAGAAAAATTATTTTAATATACAGGAAACATATTCCCCCCTTACCCATCTGTTGTACCAAAATTTTACGAACACCCTGTATATTTCAAGTGAAACAGAGTTTGTTTTATTTACATATTCCAGTTGACCATTAGAATCGATTACTTAATAATGATACAATTATTATTTGTCTATTTTAGATAATGTTTCAAACAATGCATAGACTTAATGATTTTTACAAGATACACTTCAAGTTTTGGTCGATAAAATTAAAAACCCAGTATTTTACAATTAATTTTTATCTACACATGAACTGATATGTTTATCAGCGTTATATTGTTACAAACTTTTGTGTACGATTCTATCTCTTTTAAAACTTATACATTATTAACAATAAAACATTGCATAAAGAAGGCAATCACAATAACTTTCATATAATACAAAGAACAATTAGTTGAATTTCTGAGTTAATAAAAAATTACATCGAATAGTTTAGCATTTCCTCACACATTATTTTAATCTACTATCAGCCAACGAATTGTTTGATTGCGAGAAATGCGAAACAATGTAAAATGCATACACTACATTTTATAATTGAGGAAAGACGTACGAAAGATCAGATTCATTGCGTATAATACATTTATAGAAAATATGAAATACTTATGGTTAATTTCTTGTATTTAAAATATAAAAAGGTATAAAGACTAGAATGATGTGCTAAGAGAATTGTGTTATTAGTACAATAGTACGAGCAACAAATATCTTACTTCGTAATATAAATAATAAAAAATCTGTAAAATATAACGTTAAACAATATACAGACGGAATAAGTATTATCCGTTATTCCGAAGTTGCGGATAAATTCTTTAAAAAATACAACAAAACTTTGGCTGTATAAATGCTATTAACCGGAAAGTATCGCGTACCTGTTATAATAAGCAATGATACAGTAAAAGAATTATTTATAGCAATCTCCTTCCTTAATATAAAAATTTAGTCATTTTAAAATAACATGATCAACATTTACGTGTGTACTGCAAATGTGAAAAAATCCTGGACAATATATTAGGCTTACAATTTTTAGTAAAAATCTTATATTTATAATGACTTCATATTCAGTCACCAAATATGAAATATCTATTTGTACTTTTCGACACAACAAAATAATACTATAGGATATAAAGTTCCACTTGTGAAATATTATCAAGCGTCCACTTAAAGTGACACTGAACTTGTTCATTATCTAGACAGCGAAAACATGAAACCATAATAAAGAAAACTCTACGAAAACAATATTTATCAACATATTTAAAGTTTCTTTTAATTAAAAGTATTAAATACTTTTTTTGCAACACAACTCTCAATATAATCTGCATGATATAACACTAGGTACTAACGTATAATATCAAAGATGTCCTAATATTAGAAATTTTTTCGTTTAGTTATGAAAGATTGGCTAATATTGCATTCAATCCCCATACTCTATAAAAACCATATGATAGTGTTCCACATACATATTTAGCAACTGAAATTATGCATTTGTTGCATATCTTAAAGGTAAATGTAAAAGCTACTTAAGAAAGTCGACTACAACCACAGTTACTTGTATCACCAATCGATGTTGTTTTACCATTTATTGAAGTTGCATTCGTTTCATATCTAGGTAGTTCCTTACTACGTGCCTGCTAAAATGACATTTTGATGTGACTAGATGAATCTCCTAACAAAAAAAATTGTAAAAATCTAATGCATTGTCCTGTTACCTCCATGAGCTCAGCTGCTATTTCCATAAATAATCGTTCTACGTTTTCTGCTTCCTTCGCAGAAGTTTCCAAAAAGTACATCCCATGTCTTTGTGCAAAATCTTCTCCCACATGTGTTGGTATTTCTCTATCTTCCCGATCAATTTTATTACCTAAAATGCAAATTAAATAAATTCAGATGCAATGACTCACACGATGCATTAAACAACATGCTTACCTACTAATATCCTAAGAACCTTATTACTCGCATATTCCTCAATTTCTCTTAACCAATCTGGTAAACAATCAAACGTAGGTTGACAAGAAATATCATAAACTAAAATCAAAGCATGTGCTGACCAATAATAACTTTGCGTTATTGACCGAAACCTTTCTTGTCCAGCAGTGTCCCAAATTTGGAGCTGAAGGTAACCGATACCAATTAAGTAAGATACGGCATAAAATTATGTTGAAAAAGCATAACTGTACACATTGGATGAATCATGATGTATTACGTCATACACATACCTTGACTTTCTCATTTTCAACTTCTACAGTCTTAATCATAAAATCGACACCTATTGTCGCACCTTGACCAGGGGGGAATAATCCCTACAAGAGATACATTCATTAACAATTAAAAATTTAGCCAAGGTATATGAAAAATTGATGTGCCATAGAAACAAATGAAACAGTTACATACGAAGTGTACAAAGTTGATAAAATTTCGTTACCATTATTACGAATTTATTTTCATGTTCGCTTAATGAGAAACGACACAAATATCTTAATGACATACTTGTATACAGGCATATTATACCTGAGTAAATCTGCGCACGAGGCAGGTCTTGCCGACGCCCGCATTTCCTACGAGCACAACTTTAAAGAGAAATTTGTAATCCTCCATTATATCAGTACTGTATTACAATCAGGAACCCCGTGTAAAACTAGCGATGCATTTGCAAACACGACACGTACAAATCTTCGTAATCGTTCACTTTAACGTTCGTACGAAACCTTACGATACAGTTAATGTTATCCTTTTAATGATATTCACTTTTCTCCAGTCGCGTTAAACAAAACTGTTCATGACATCATCCTCCGGTTCTTCTTCCCTTACGATTTATTGTGTACATAATGTTCCATTTTGATTAAACAAACAAAAATGCGTACTTAACTGAAATCGTGACTGACTTTCTAGGCCTTCTGCCATTCTGTCAAAATGACGTTTTCTCTTGTCCCCGCCATTGAATTATTACGTTATTATGATTCAAGTAGAAATCGTAAGCGTGATATAGGCATGCATGTAATATGTATATGTATGTGTATTTCTAGTAGTCTAGTAGTAGAGAGCTATGTAGTCTAATATAATGTATAAAAGCATGTGGCTTAGAAATCATGGGTTAACTTGTTACTATTTTATTCTTAAATGATCATATGAATATCGTTTGAATTATTTGAATTCTCTAAACAGTATTAAATGATCATATAATTCAAAAAGTTATTACATTTTTATTGAATGTACCATACTACACAATGGTATATGTCCGATTTTAAAAGTAATAAGAATTTGATATGAGAGAAGTATTATGATTTATCAGAGTTAAGGATGGAGAATAATAATAATGTTTATAACAGCGTAGTCGTTCAATATAAAGTATCCTTTAAAAAGATCGTGATAATGAACAAGTTCGCAGCCGTGAACGCTAGATGACTTCACGAGCAACCCCAAAATTATTATCGTAAAACCATTTAAGAAGGTGATGAATTCCGGGTTTACTATCCTTGACAACTCTTAAGAATAAGCTGTCGCTCAGGTATAAGTGCGAAAATAAAGAAATTACGATTTTCCTTCGCTAAAGAGGACCGATTTTTATGACTAGGCAGTGTAATTAAGTTGTTCCGTCGCTATGATCCACTCCTTAGCTTAAGTACTTCAGTTACAGCTGAAAAAAAACCATTATGTCTCGAATCACCAATCTGCCGCGCAACTATTTCTTTGTACTTTTAGCAAAATATTATATTCTTCCGCTAGAGAAATGAATGCGAATGATCCTGCATGTAACAAATATACATTTGCACAAATATTTGATACTGCCTATATTGTATCGGAGAGGAACTCTCTGATTGTATCTACGCTACGGTGGACCTCTTTCCTGAGTTGGCCACAAGGTGCAGCACTTTCGTTGCGGTTTCACTTGAGAACAAAGAACTCAGCACTCTCAGTCTCAGTTTCTCTCTGCTTCACTCTGCTTCTATATGCTTTCATTTAGCTCAGTAGTGACGCCAACGAACGGTGGAATTCTCGTATACTAAGCAAACTGGTCGTCGCATTGTGCAACACAGGCCGCGATTGGTCCTTTCCTAAAATTCAACCGACGGCGTAAGAAATTCGACCAATCAGGACGAGCGTTGTATTCCTGTAATCCCGTTAGAAGATACAAAGGAATGGTAGCCATTTTACGTGGATATCCCGTTTGGCATAGCAGTAGTGTCCGCATGATCATCGCGAAAAGTTGAAATAATTGTAGTTCGGAGTATTCCAGTTTTTTCGAAATGCGTTAAAGAGGTAATTGTTAATTAGTGTTGCTTGTAGTGCTCCCGATAAAACCCACCGCAAAATGTGAAACCGCAATACCGAATAGTTTAGTTTACTCGGCAGGCGTTAAAGAGATCCAGATGCGTATTTGGTATTCGTGTACATTTAGATATCTGTGCTGAATTTCTAGAACGTGCATGGACATTGGATTAGTGTAACAAAAGCTTTTGGAGAGTGTCTGATTGCTAAACTCTAGAGAAAAATCGATACGTGGTCATGGTGCATCAACCTTTTGTAAAAAGGCTGAAATTTCAAATAACATTACATAAATAGAAACAGTAATATACTACTTTCTGTTCGCCTTGTTCACCTCTTGAGGTCATTAATACTATTAATCCATCAACTATAAACATAATTTTAAGAAACTGTATATGTGTCCAACAATTGTGTCCTATATACTTCATCAATTCAGTAAAAGTGGAATACCCTAACCATAGAAAGTCAAGTGTAATATTGAACAAACAATTTGTACTTTCATAATTGTACACCAAGTATAATTTGAACTTGTATTCAATATTCTTTTACTATATTACTGTAAGAGATATGTGTCTATTTTATTGCCTTCCTCTAGCAAAACTATTTAATATGCATTTTTTGTGTGTCACAGTTAATTATCACTGTCAAGTTGACGAAGATTTGTTGCTCTTATCACCTGGCAACAAAAGAACATCATGACATCAACAAAGTCTAAAGAAATCGCAGATGAGTATATCTCATCATTATCCGATCTGACGATCAACAGTAAGCCACTCATCAATATGCTTACTATGCTGGCAGAAGACAACATAGAACATGCATCAGCGATTGTCCAAGCTGTCGAGAATCATCTGCAAAAGGTTACCTATTTGTATTGTTGTATTATTTAAATACAAGTTGTTTTGTACATTGTAAAATATATTAATGTGCTTCCATGTTGCGCAATTATTTAATGTTAAGTTATTTTTATTATTTACATAAAACGTGAAAGCCTCTAAAAGTTTAACTGTTCTGTTTTTTTTAAACCTTACAAGTATCCACGAGTCATTAATTTTTATTAGATGTAACTATCTCTTTCTGACCTAAAATGTAGCAAAAACTATAACACATGAAAATTAAGTGTTTGTGCTACTACTTTCTCTTCGTTCTTTCACTATGCAGTTGTACATTAGTTTCGTAGATACACTATGATGCAAGATATGATAATTCTTATAATTAACGTTTTAAAGTAATAAATGTATAATATAATATAAGTCTAAATGTATTATATTATATTTCAACAGGTGAGGAGTGACATAAAATTACCGGTTCTTTATTTGATCGATTCAATTGTAAAGAACGTTAATGGAGCATATTTAAACCTGTTCACACAAAATATTGTGAACACTTTTTGTGGAGTGTTTGAAAAGGTATGTTTTCTCAATCCTTTCCATGTTCTACTTCATCTCTGTGTTCGAAAATAACATACGTATAGCTATAAATCTGCTTTACACTGTTAACTATAAGATAATAGTTCAGTCAATGGTAGGTCATTGTACTCTACTCTCCTAGTCATACTATGTATACTCAAATCTGTTATCTTAACTCTTTACAAGAATCAAAAAGAAATGAAAAAACTCAGATGGTTATAATAGTGTGTAAATAAACAGGTCGATGAGAATACTAGAGCCAGCATGTGGAAATTGAGACAAACTTGGAATGATGTATTTCCTGCGAATAAACTATTTTCTCTGGATGTACGGGTGCAAAGCATCGATCCTGCCTGGCCAATCACTGCCGCTCCTACTAGTGTTTCTTCGGGATCTATTCACGTGAACCCCCGTTTCTTCTCAATGGTATGTTCAATTATTCTGTAATGAATTTCGTACTTTACACTTGACGTAAGTGTATACTCGACGTTTCCACTATTTTTAGCCCCAACAGTCAGCAACGTCCATCTCGCAACCGATTGTAGCACCTGTTAAGCTTCCGCCAGGTGATCCGGTGACACCGACGGAAGCAGCGATGCGAGAACAATTATTGAAAAAGCAACGGGAACTAATAGAATTGCAGAAGAAGAAAATTGAGTTGGAATTGCTTCAAGCTAAAGCTAATTTGGAGCAACAGCAACGGCAACTTGATAAGCAAGCTGGGAATTTAAAAGCTGAACTGGTAAGTCACGCGATTATCTCATTTTCATCCGTATATTTTAATAGCAATCAAATTTTATTCATTCTTATTTGAATAGGCTGCTGTTACTACTACAACGCATGTGACATCAACCACGGAGACCGTCACGCAAGGAAAGCCTGTAACTTCTGTGCCAAATCAAACAGCAAAACAAGTAGCAAAACAGGTACTTGTCTTAATCGTATACCATAAAATTTACATACGCGTTACGTATGCATATAATGGAATCATGTAAAATTATACGTATACATGTCACTAAATATCATATTTTATCTTTCCAGTTTCCAGCAGCGACTGCTTCGCTTTTGAAAAGTGCAGGAATGAACAATGGTCCACGAATTGCGCCAGCTAGTAGCATAGCAGTAGCTTCAGCTAAACCAGTGTCTCGTGATCCAAGAATAAAGACAACTTCGACTCAAGACGTTCCAGCTACAAGCGTGGATCCTCGGCAGCGAATAAGTACATCGGCTCAAAAGGATTCGCGTGGTGAAGGCCAAACGCAGCTAGCGGCAAATACAAACACTGTACTTTCAGATCAATTAAAACAGCAGTTACTTTCGAAACAGGCTGTGACTAGCACTATCAACAAGTCTCCGACAAATCTTGCCGGCTCCGATACTGCGATGATAAACGCTAGTAATAACAATAATGCTAATACGAACCTCAACAATAATAATAATAAAAATTTCAGTGGTAACGCAAATAAAGATGCTGTGTCGCATCGAACAAGTCAAAAGAAAGACCCTCGATTGTCTAGTAATAGTAGTGGTAACCTAAACAGTAATAGTTCCAAAAGTTTTCAAATCTTGTCTGTGGGTAGTAATAGTTGTTTACCTGCGGGTAACAGAGGAAGTGGTAGTAATGATGCTAAATCGAAAGATTTAAAGAGTTCGAATTCTCGAGGCTCTTCGTCTTCGATGATCGACAAGTCTTCCGCTTCCTCAAAATCCTCGCACAGGAAATTAGGTAATAAATCGCGATCTAAGCAACCTCAGACGTCTCCGAGTAAGATAGCGAAAGTCGACAGGGACGCGAGTCCTATTAGATCCAAATCTCGTGAGAAAGACAGTGAAGACAGTTCACCATCCTCGCGTACCTCTCCTCAGTCCTTTCAAACTTCTAAAAACCGAAAGAAGAATACGAAATCGAGAAAACGCAGTCCAAGCCCTCCGTACAGAATTCCCAGGCGTAACGACGCAAAGTCCAACTCAAGTCTTAGCAGTTCCGGTGGTGTCACCGAGGAGGAACAGTCCGGTTCTTTGATAGTCTCTCCTCCTCACCCACCTGCATTTAAAGAAATACGACCGAATACTAGACAGAGAAATTACGTAAGGCGTAACAAGGATGACAGTCTTAGTCCAGAGCGCTCTCCAGCGAATGCTGGTAATGTTCAAACAGCTGCGGAGTTAACTTCGGAAGCGTCCAACAGAGATGAAGACTTGAGAGCTACACTACCTCTTCCAGGTGCACCCGCCTCGGTATCCGAAAAGAGTGAGTTCACAACTTATACTTTACGATATAAATACAAATCATTTACAGACACAAGTGTCGAATACTTTTCATTGATTAATGGTGAGTTAATTTGTACGATGTATGATTGCAATAATGATACCCCTTATAAATACTTGCGTATCACAATGTCAACTGTAATGTTATTTTGAATCCTTAAGAGTGAACTCATATTCTTTGTTTTTGTTTCGAACGAAACAAAAATATTTCATTTTTTGAAGATATAAAACTAGCATGCAAAAGAGGATGCAATGATCCTATATATTGGTAAAATTAAATACGAATATAACGCTTCTATAAACTATGAGTTATTTCACTTTGTTTCGAAATCTTTTTCAGAAGAGGACTTAGATTTGCGTGTATTGCCGCCAGCAGTTAATTCTAATAAACGACAAAGTTCGGAGCACATAGAATCTACGTTGAATAAGAAAACGAAGGCTGAGAAGTTTGATGCGTAAGTATCTTCACTTTCTGTCATAATTTCATCTAGGATGTTATGTATTATTGATGCAAATGTCTCTTGAAATTTTAACAGATTATTTGGAAACGAAGACGTTGATTTGCGAACGTTAACTCATCCCAAAGCTGGACGACCTCCGACGCCGCCTCCGCCTGTAATATCCGGAGAAGATGGCAAAGATGGTTGGGCGAAATTGAAGACGCCGTCAAAGAATGATAGAGAAAAACAGGCTAATAATATCGATGACAAGCGAGATGGTAGAGATCGAAATAGAGATAGATTGGGTAGGCTCAGGCTTTACAATAAACTTCCGGATGATCCTAAAGAAAGACGGAGAACGTTGTCGAATGAAGATCAGGACAGACCGAATAGGAGAGGTCGAGAGAACGATAAACCTGAGAAGAACGAGGATAGGAATATTGAAATTATAATGAAACAAGCTGCCGAGCAACTGAATCAAGGTTCTATTACCAAGACTCAATACAACAATCTTATCCAAGAAGTCTTGCACATGAGCGAAGACAGAAAACTAAGAGCCGCGCAAAGGAAAGAAAAAGAAGTAGGATCTATCGTATGGGAGAAAGGTGTAAATTTGGATCTTGGTGGTTCTGGAGATCGTACGTCCACCTTCAGTCCTTCTAACGATAAGGAAATGATGCGAAATAAAGATCATCCTATCACAAGGAATCCGAATGGTCCTAGATGGCAGAATCAACAATGGCAGCAACCAGGACCATGGGCTCATCCACCGGGGCCTCCATACGGTGGTCCGCAAGGGCATTTTAATTCAGATTTCAGACCTGTTGGTCCTTGGCAAAATCCAAGACACTTCGGCCCGATGCGAGCCGATTATCAATATCACGGTGGTTTTAATCATCTTGGTCCGAATCCTCGCCTGGGTCCTGGTATGATAGGACCGATGGGAGCTAACGGGCCGCTTATGTCGAATTTATTATCGAATGGTCCGATCGGCCCGATCGGCATGTCAAATCCTGGTATATCATTATCGGGCATAAATGGACCTGGAATGATGATGAACAACGGGCCAATGTCGAATCTTGTATCAAATCCGAATATGTCTTCATTGAGTGCTTCGAGAAACGCGTCCCCGAGTTCATCCGCGAAGTATGACCTCGAAGATGGTGATCAGAATTATACGTCTACGATGCTTAAAAATCAGAATCCTCATAGCCGTGAATTGCCGCCGCCAGATCCAAAACTGCTGGACGAAATCGCGAGAGACACAATGAAATCTATAAATATAGACAGTATACCGCGTGAAATTAGATACTACGGTCAAACTGGAGTCGTTTTTATGAACTGGGACGATCCGAGAGAAATTGGATTTCAAGATGGTATACGACGGATTTTGATTGATGACAAAGATACGGTAACTTGTGCATTTAATGATCAATACAAGGAGTTCATGTATGAAGGTGAAGTTCATAGGTATGTATTAGATTAATGTAAAGTACGTGATAACGTGTCTTTTTTCCGAAGTCGAGGTTTTATAAAAATTTGTTCATCCCTTTTTCAGAATTAAGTTAGGTGCACCAACGAGAGAGTTGTACATCGATGATAGATGGTACGAATGTTATTTCGGTGGTATGCCCGTAACAGTAGATATCGGTGGTAAAAAAGTTAGTGTGAAATTAGAAGGGCCACCGCCTCATGTTAAAATTGGCACTGTGAAGAGAACCGATCTGGTGGTTGCCAAGATTAATCTTATTATTAATGCCCGAAACATGGTTCCTGTATTTTTAGACCCAAAGCCCCAAATGTGAGTATTTTCGTGTTGATCCAAATTTTAAAACAAATGTCGTGTAGCGCATGGTTTTTAAACATGTATATTTCATTGTGATATGTATAGATTCGAAATCGAGGGAAAACCTCATACGTTGGAATTCATAGACTCGCTGCAAACGGTTCTTTTGAATGGGCGTCCATTCAAGGTTGAATTCGGAGGACTGCCTAAGCCTATCATTGTCAGAGATAAAAAACATTTTATAAGATTTTCGGTATTGCCAAGAGGTGTTCGACCAGGATATGTTAAGATCGCGGGTATGAAAGGTGAAGAACCTATTGAATCATCACCGTCTCCACCTCTGTTGACGCAAAAGCCGAAAGTAGATGCAGCTTCCGCGCCAACCCCGTTCTCTATCATCGAGCCTGAATCGACGTCACAGGATGGTTCAGATCTCAGATCTACGCCTAAACCGGGTAAATATAATATTCACGAAAATATACCGTGTGTAACAGTGAAACGTTTACACGGTGTACTCTTTTCTGTAATATTTCATTAGACTTGTAGCGAAAATTTATCTTGTTCCAGATTTACAATTGGACATGTTATCTTCCGCACTGCCGTCTGCAATGGCACCGTCGTCTGGATTATCGTATCAAGCCGAGCCAGTCGAAAATCCAGCCGCAGCTGCTCCAGCGTTATCGTTACCGTTGAATATGAACGAACTATTTCAGAGATTAGTCGAGACCGGCATGGTGCCGAATCTCGCCGAGCAAAAGAAGCAAGAGGTAGAGGAAACGAAAGAACCGGAGATTACCCCCGTTTCGTTTGATAAGCCAGAAACGCTTAAAGTGTAAGCATGCTTTGACATAATTTTGTATTATAATTAACGGCAATATTTTATGATTAAGTATTTGGTCTTCTATTTGTTTCTTAATTGAGGATATTCTGTTTTAGTAAACAACCAGCAATCGCGGCTGCATTGTACAGTGGAATGCAGTGTAGTTCTTGCGGTGCTAGATTTGCACCGGAATTAGCGACGCGTTATAGTCATCATTTAGATTGGCATTTTAGGCAAAATAGGCGGGAAAGAGATTCCGCGAGAAAGGCCCATTCACGACCTTGGTACTACGATGTTAGCGATTGGATACAGTTCGAAGAGATTGAAGATTTGGAAGATAGAGGTAATCATTCTCACTTATAATCTTCATCAATCTCATAAAAGTAAAAGACCATCTAATCTCTTTTTTAATTCCATTTAGCACAAAGTTGGTTCGAAACTGAAAAACAGACAGCCGATACCGAAGGTATCACTGCAGAAGAGTCTCCTCAAGAAGCATTACAGCCGAGTGTTCCAACTGGAAGTGATGAGGATTCAAGATGTCAAGTGTGCCACGATGCATTTGAACAATTTTATAATGAGGAAAAAGAGGAGTGGCATTTAAGGCCAGCGATTAATTTCGAGGGAAAGAATTATCATCCATTGTGTCTCGACGATTACAAGGTTCGTTTTATTACTTGTTTTAGTTTCTTTTGTATTTTCAGTTAAGGTTTTTGTCATACTTTCAAGCGACTAAATATCCATATAAGTTTATTAACGGATTTTCCATTTGTTGCATTCTTACAAAAAAAATAGGAAAAAAGTCTTGTGGTATGTGCTTCTTAATAATTCATATTCGTACATTGCACGTTGCAGACAATATTTCATCACATTTGTAAATATAGCGGAAATACATAGACACTAGAATATGTAATGTAATTAGAAGCAACTGTATATTTTCGTTTCATTTATTCTCTTAGTTCTTTGAATATTTATTTTTTAGCAAACTCGATATATTTCGCTTCTTTTGAATGTATTATATATAAGTAATTTATAATATATTAAATCAAAATTTTTTCTACTCGTACATATTAGAAAATGAGGTAATAAATAATGTTTTTATTTGCCTACAATTCTGTTCAGCATGTTCAGAATAATGAAGTATATCACATCTGTCAATTCTATCCTTTCTTTAATTCAGTACAATTGAAGTGATAACACTTTACTTTTTTTACGCAATTAGAGAGCTTTGGAAAAATCTGCGTTAGCGCTCGAAGAGACAATCGAGGAAATGGAAGATGAAAAGAAGGAAAGCTCCGATGAAATGTGCGGAGAAGAAAGTAAAGGTGATGAATTAAATGCTGCGGAGACATTTAGATCCGATTTTGAAACAGCCGAACCATCGGACGAAGCAGTAGATGATAATGCACCGGAAGAAACTACAGAGGTGGAAAATAAAGAGGAAACTGCCATTGAAACTAACGCAGACATTGAACAGAATCAGGAAGAGAATGAACAGGAACTGGAAACCAGTAGCGTTAAGGAGGATGTCGAAATGGAGAGTACAGATAAAGAGAAAATGCACACGACCACTGAAACTGAAGTACCCGAAGCAGAAATTGTGGATAAATCTTTCGAAAGTATTAAAATTAAAGAAGAACCGATTGACGAACCTGAAGAGCAATTAGAAGAGGAACACTTCGACTTCAGTCATGTAGAAATAAAACCAGAACCTATTGACCCGGAGCCAGGTACGCAAATATACATATATTACGGCGTAATTGATAATGTGTATACTGATTATTTTGTATTAACTTATTTCAAATTTCCAAAAATAGAACCCGAGGAGAGCGTTATAACGGAACCCGCGGCGGTCGATACGACGCATGCTGCAGTGAAAAGTTCTATAGACGGAAACGTAGAGTTGGATTCTACACCCGCAGCGATACCAGCAGCGCCTTCTCGAATTAAAATTAATATTACAAAACCGTTATGTGTTAATAAAGAACCAGAGGAATCAAAGGAAAAAGAAAAAGCTGTAGTTGAAGCGCCTACCGAGGAAGAGGTGGTAGAACCTTTGGTGCCTGCTTCTATCAAACCTGCTTTACAAGGTAGAAAACTGTCAGTTTTACCTCCCGTGGAGAAAGGGCAAGAGTTATCAGGACTCTGCTCAATTATGTAAATAGTGTACATAATGAGTTTGAAGTCGTGTACGCGCGAGAATGTGTGATCCGAGTGTATTCGTGTTTTTCGTACTACTTATTTTTAGCGTCGGATACATTGTACATCACATTTGTGCAGCTTATACGACTTGATGTAACCTGATGATCAAATCTTTTGCTTTCTTCCCTTTTTATTCTATGATTCACTTCTCAGTAGTTCACTTTCTATTTTCTGCATTTTTATGCTAAGCTTTCACTTATTCCTTTGAACTACTATTTAAATAATAGTAAGATAGATTAATTATATTTATCTATTATTTCTCGGTCATCACGTCGTATAATGTTAAAAGATACGTGTTGTAATGTACGAATGCGGACGTGTGAGAGTAGTAATTTTTAAATTTTAATCACGGCGAAAGAGAATAAGAAAACTGTACATATGTAATGTAACCGAAACAATTTAACTAGAGCGAGCATAGTAGCATTCCCGATAATATCGAGTGCAATCGTATTTCCTGGCAGTGGAATGCCAGAAACATAATTATCGATGTGCACCTGACTAACTGCGAATTTCATACTGTTTGTACTTTGTAAAAACACTCGAATGATATTCGATAGCATGTTTTTTAGAAACGTTGCCCCCACTTGATTTTTAAAACTACGAAAATTCAAGTCTCACGAGGAAGGAATAATGACCGATTACCCAATTTAGTTAGGTGTACAAATTGTGTGATATAAAATTGTTGATTGTGTATATAATAGCAACGTAAAAAAATAATCCCGACGATATTGGGTAAGAGGAAGAAAGAGTAGTTATCTACTAGAGAAGGATTATTTTGTTGTATAAAAGAAAATCTTGTTAATTATTCGGGGTCTGACATCCTTTGGTTGCTTATTTATGATCCTAAATTTACCTTTCTAAAGTATCCCTTACGATAATCAACTACTGAGAAACTTTAGAGGTTTAAAATTTTTAACTATAAAAATATTTGAACAAATAAAAAGGTATCAATAAGAGAAGTTATTCTTTAGTTGAGATTTGTCTCAATATTCAATAAAAACTTATTTTTAGAAAAAAAGAACAATGTATTAGAATGACTAATTACTGCTCCTTGTCCTTAGTATGATAAAGTTTTGTAGCATTTCAAATTGAGAATATAATAAAATGAATTTAGCAAAAACGATGAATTTGTAATTATTATTTTCATTTATGTTACATTTCCTTGTTTATTATGGGATAATTACGTACACAAATTTCGAGAGCTTTATCTACAAACTGCAGTTATGGGGCCACCTTGGGAAAGGGAGGGTATCCTTAATATTGGGTATATTAAAAGCATATTGTAAAAATCTTTCGAATCCCATTCCAAATCCTCCTGTTGAAACATTGCCGTACTTTCGAAGTTCTAAATACCAAGCCAGATCGGTGGTCAAGGGTAACTTTGATTTTAACTTTTCATAATCATCTTCGCGTATGCTCCCTCCCACTAATTCTCCTACAGTAGGTACTAAAAGATCCATGGCAGCAACCTTTAAGAAGGATCATACATGTACCCTAATGATGATTACTACTCGAGAAGAACTCGAGATCGCTATACCTACCTTTGAACTATCGTCTTCACATTCCTTCATATAAAAGGGTTTGCCTTCTTTTGGCCAGTTTATAATAAACACTGGAATATTATTATTTCGTTTCACTAAAAACAATTCATGTTCTTTGGATAGACTGTCTCCATACGTAATAGATTTCTCTAAGGAGTTTGCATTATTTTGTAGAATATCAATTGCATCGTCGTAAGTTATACGTGCAAATTTTTCGGTCAACCATTGCACATCCTGACCACCTATTACTTCTATATCAGAAGCACCCTTTTCAAATATTTCTTTAAGTACATACTTTATCATTAATTCTACCTCATCCATTATAACGTTTATGTCATTAACAAATGCTAATTCTGCTTCTAACATACGAAATTCGGATAAATGCAACCTTGATTTAGAGTTTTCAGCTCTAAATGTTGGTCCAAAAGTATAGACTTTTGTAAATGCTCTGAAAGATTAAACACATGTATTTCTGTGACATCTCTTTGTCTGTTAGTAGATAATTCTACTCTTTAAATTACCTTGAAACTGCTTCTAAATGTAACTGTCCAGAAACAGTTAAGAAAGTCTTAGTATTAAAGTATGATTCTTCTTCTGTCAGACCTTCTTTTCTCATTGAATTTGATAAATCTTTAGAATCTGGTTTTACTAAAAATAATTCACCAGCACCTTCGCAATCATTTGAAGTCAAAACTGGTGTATGCATACTAATGAAACCCTTATTCCTTAAATAATTCTCAAAAGTAGCAGATGCCAAATCACGCAATCTTAACAGAGATGAAAACTTTCTAGTTCTCGGCCTTAAATGCAAATACTGCCTAACGTAATCTTCAGGATACTGTTTTCTTGGGGCAAAAGGATATCCATCCATAACATCACACGAGCCGATTACGGCAACGTTATTTGCGTGTAACTCAATTCTACCATTCGGACTTAAAGCTAATGTTCCTTCAGCTCTGATACTACAGCCATAACTTAATTTCTCAGGCTTTTCGGATTTTGGTATAACAACTTGTAACATTTTAGGAGTCGATCCATCCATAATATCAACGAAAATATTATCTTTCATCTTTCTGACAGCATGAATCCAACCCTACCCTTAATAAATTGTTTCAAAAATTAACATTAAAAATAATCAAGAAACGAAGTGAAGGCGTATAACAATCGTAATACTCTTCTTATAAGACGAATATAAAAAGATGAACATCATTCATTGTTGAATTAGTATAAAAGCGTGATAGGGCTAACCTGTATTTTTACGTGCCTCCCCACGTTTGTTTCGATATTTTTATTGCATATTTGCAGCATGCTATGCACGTGACACTTCGGGAAATTAAGATTAGCAAATAAATTCATATTGAATCTAAAGAATGTTGTAAATGACATTTTTCTCCCAGTTTCTACAAACTTCAGTTAAGTATGTGCGTAATTATAGAAGCAGGAATAATGTATATACGAGAGTTACAACAATAAATCCAACTTCGATGGTATGCAAATTTCTCGGACGAATTGTATTATATAAATAATATAATCTTATTGAATATCATTTCTTTGAATGCCGAATAAAGATTACATACATGACAAAACAGAACCAGAGAGAAAATGGGAGTGCTCACGGCCACGTGAGTATTGCGCACACGTCGTTATAGAGAGAGAGAGAGAGAGAGAGGTAGTAATCTTTGTCTTCTTTCTCTTCCTATTTGCGAGTCACGTTTGTGGCTGACTTCTCTACTCTATTTATATTATCTCTGTGGTATATCTGCGTGTTCCCCATACTAGTGCTGCCCCCAACTCTTTATTGAGGTCGATACAGTAGGTGACTGCAACACCAACATGGCGTCTGGCCATGAACTTTCCAAACGGACACCTGGTGCGTTACCTTCGTCGCGGTTCCCCTCCAATTTCTGCGCAGATAAATCAAAATTTAGAGAGTAATTTTAAAACTTCTGTGGGATGCTAGTTATACTTGTGATGCATCAGTCGTGATCTATCAATTAACATTGTTATATGTATTTTCAAGTTTAATAGAAAAGAGTGTTAGTCGAAAGTGAATGTTTCTGTTAATTGTGTAATCTAAACGTGGAGAATAAATGTGCATTGTCGAGAATTCAAGGGGATATTAAAATTGGATTCGATAGTAATTTAGGGGGTTAGTCGTTGAATTCTCATTAGCTTTTCGTTTTATTGTAACATACAGTGATAATGTGTTTGAAGATTAAGAAAAGTAGAGGAAGAAGTAACGAAGATACATTCGTCGATTATTATAGCATGTACGACAAACTACTTTAGCAAAAGTGTGAAGTAACCAAGTAGTAAATCCAGCGTATCTTTTTCATTACAGATATTCCAAAGAACGCGAGATGTCAACAAGTCAAACGAGATTGCGTCCTTTCTTTGAATGAATCTTCATTTCAGTAAGTGTTATTTCTTTACACGTATTATTTCTAACATTTATTTTAAACTGAGTTAAAAATGTTTCGAAGCAAATTCAGATTCATTTAAATTATATCAAGAATTTTTACATCAATTTTACAGTAAATATTTTTCTGATATTGAAAATAATCCCTAATGTAGATCAGTTTAAAATAATTTGATGTCTATAGATATATGTATAATTATTTAGTCGTGTAACTAAAAATGTATGATCGTTTTTTTTACACTTTTTTGAATCTATCAATTTGGCTTAAAATGACGTCTTTACGTATTTATTAAGCAATTGGCCAATTTAGCCATTAAATACATAGTTCTATTATTTTTCCTGACATATCGCGATATTGAACAATATGTATAAAATACCATGGTTGCACTTTTGCGGCTTTTGTTCTCATAAATTTCGAGTTGAATGCTGACTGTTACTATCTATGTACAGCAGCACACTTCGTTTAGCAATGTTTATGTTCTCTCCACGGTTGCGTTGTCTCTTTTGTTGCTTTGTTAAGCGATTTCGGGAAAACAATCAGATATTTTTACTAGTACATTTCTCGTAATGACTGTGTGCATCAACTGTTCGCAATTGGCTTTTTCTCGTTCATCATATCTCGTGCCTTTAAGGATGTATTGGCGATACAGTCAATCCCAAAAGTTATGTACCTTAGAAAAACGCATTTCCTATAATTAAAAAGAAATCAGACGTCGGAAGAATAATGCTAATAATAAATAGCTACTTGCTAAAAAGTACAGAAGGAAATATTCAATTAAGTATTGACGNTTTCTAAAGTGCATAAACTTTTGGGATTGACTGTATAGCCAATACATCCTTAAGGATTGAGAAATTACGAGAGTAACGTTTGGGCTGGTTCCAGGCTGCATGTTAGCAATTGAGATCTCCTTTAAAACTGGTTTGATGACCACTCCCTCACGCTTAACAATATTCACGTAACAGCGCATCAATGTTGTTATATATTATTTATTCGGTTTTAAACGAAATTCCTTTGCAAACTAATTTTACAATTACAGCACAGATTGCACTCGGTTGAAAGCAACTGTAGCTAAGTTTATTTATGAATAAATTTTCAACTTTTATCGAATCAATAGCATAACATCAAAAGCTTTAGTTACTAAGTAGAAATAAGTCTACTTCATTAATTCAACCAAGCAGGTGGAACGTATAAGAGAGGAAGTCTTATTACTATCCAGCAAGTTTAATTGCGGGTGAAAACTTCAGCGCACATGCAAAACTTTTCTCGGTAAACCGAAAGAGGCACGAAGTCTTTCGAGCTGGAAATGAATAGGCAGTTCCCATGAATTTAGCTTACGAAAATTATATCCCACCCTTTTTGCGAGTTGCACGTTCCTTCAGATTTATTATTACGCCAACGCTTTAGAAAGTGCAGTAAGGCTGGAATGATTCTTTGAGTGTATTTCTGATTCAATCAAAGGTGTGAAATCTTCGACCGTGGTCGTTTTCACTCCTCTTACAAGGTGTCGATCAAAGGGTGTCAAAGTAACACTCGAGCCCGACGGGATCGCCAAGCGATATTTTATTGATAGGAGTTATTTGAATATTTCTCGCGAGCTCTCGTCGTTTGTATCTCTCTGAACATACCTTCCCTGAATTTATTAACTTCCTCTGCGATTTAAATCGTCGTAACAGTTAATATCCGAACAAACTCCTAACGCACACCAAGTGGTTCCCTGGGAATTTATGAGCACGCACACAGCTATACAGCGTGAACACGTTTACGATCTCGGCGACGAGATCCCTCGGGTTGAGGTAAAACAAAAGTCAATTAAGTCGATGCAAACCGTAACGAGTGGTAACAATGGGGTCAAAGAAACGAGCCGGACAAAAAGATTAAAAGGCAACTAACGGGAGCTCGGCGGTACGAGGAATGAAACGGTAAGGATTTTCGTGGCGAAATTCGTAAAGGTAGCTTAACAAGTCTTCTTGAGGAAATATTTTGTAAGAAAACGGAGAAATCACGACTGCGCGAGGACTTGTGAAACGAGCACACCTATCCAGCCACCTATGCTCTCCTTTGTAGCCGAGTATCGAAGTTCACATCTGTTCGGAAGAAACGCGACAGCGGAGAAAAAGGAAACGCGAGAAGCGACGGAGATTTTAAGGGATAGTAGGAACGAGCGGAGATAAGGTCGCGGAGTACACAATGGAAAATGCGTATAGTAGGATTCGAAGTCCGGTTCGTTGAAGAAGGACGTTGGACGAGGCTAGTTCCTCGCGTTAGAATGGGACAGTCGCATCGATCGGATTCCACCGTGTGGGAGTGCAATGAAAAGCATCTTTAAGAGTAGTATAGCGACGTCTCGTAGAGGGGTTGAGGTTGGTTCGGGGTGAAGGTGGGTTGCAGGAAACGTACGAAGCGGGGAAGATTCCACGAGACTATTTATATAGCTCGCCATCTAGAAAGTTTGCAAGAACAATTTATTACGGATATACGTACCATTTAGAGACGCCGAAGTTATTATGACAGAGAACTTTATCCGCGTAAAGGGGAACGGAGGAGACTGTGTTATTCAATCGATGAAAGTGGAAAGTACTGGATTCAATGGGGAAAATAGCGACTATTTAAAAAGTTTCTTCTTTCGTGAATTTAATTCCCTTTCAAAGACGTGTACCTGGATTCGAGGGATTTGGTTGCAAACATTTCAGAAAATTAGCAAAAGTGTTGCTTCAGGTATACTTCGCTTGAGTCGAGATTTTGGTATAATACGTAATACGGTGCGGTACGTGCTTAGGAACATCCGAGAAATTTCTTTAGCTGCGAGAATGTAGCACTTAAGTATACCCTCCAAAGTGGAAGTTATGTTTTTTGCCAGCAAGTCTCGTCTTTTCGTCGATAAAAAGGTAACGTGGTTCGGGCCGTGAGTCGCCAGACTTGGGAAACTCCTCTTCTCCTTTCGGTCACGCATCACTTATCCAGTAGCGTAGGGGTGTACCGTGAAATATGCGAGCTCTTTGTAAGTTGTAGTTATATTCGCGTCGTTTAATGTTGAAAAGATTTTCGTTTTATCTCTGCCAAGGCAGCGATAAAGCTTCACCAGGTAAATACTGAATTTTAATTAGGTAGATTCAGTTGAGTGGGGAAAAAAGATAGTCGAGAACGAGTTTTATAGTGAAAGATACAAAGGTGTGTCGAGTTTGAGCACTGTTTCTCCAGTCATAACTCGTCACGCTTTCCGTGGGACATGTATTTCCCTTTGAAAGCGTGAAGAATGATAGCGTTTTTCTTTTCTCTTTTGCGCGGCGCGGAAGACAAGTAAAAGATGTAGCGTCTCATTTCGCGCTATTTGAGAGCAAAACTGCCACGCTGTTTACCTATTTCATTTCACGAAAACTAATTTACGAATAAACGTTATCAACGTAATCCCTCTCTTTTCGGTAATTGGGAACATCGTACTTAGCCGAAAATTGTATCGTATGCAGGCGATTATCGAAAAACGATATCGTAGAACAACGCGTCGAATCAAGCTCGCATTGAATAAACGAAATCTATGTAGACAGTAAAAGATATACAAGGACGGAAAATGATCGTTCCAGAAATGAGTATATCCACTTGTTACGTCGTAGAAGCCACAACGGTTTGTTCTCGTGATGCGAGAATAAGAAGCATCCAGTAGTAAAACGCGGCGAGCGGGCACATGAGGCGGAAGTCGGGTAGGAGAGGTAAATGGGAATATCCGTATGTCGAAAGAGATAAGTGAAACGACGATTGAGCTTAGCGGGAAAGAGAAAAAGGCACGGCGATGGTGAAGCGTCGCCGTTGCCAGGGCAATGAATCGCAGATTGACGCAGGCGTCACGACGTCCGGCCACGCGCACACCCCATTTTCCGCTCCCTTCTGCTCCTCTCGAAGCGTGCCACTGCTTAAGGTATGCACGCTACAATAGACATTTTCTCGTCCGACGCAGTTGCTCTCGGGCTTACGAGATTTGCCGCATTATGATTCACACGTAAAAGTCTTTTGACCGAGAGCTCTTCCATCGGTTTAATGGTTCACACAAGTTTTTTCTTATTTCTCTACTCCGCCTTGGCCTGGATTCTTCTCCCATTATGGATTTTAATTAATCGGGCATGCCTTCTAAAAACGTTTTCCAATTATTCTGAAGAGTTGGTCTTTGTGTTTGTATGAATAAATGTTTTATGGGAAAAGGGAGGTTGAACACTATCGAGTTCAATTCCAAGTTTCAAAAGATTGCGAAAGATTCTCTTTCGCGTCGCTTTTCTTTTGATTGAATTTCGTTGATTACGTTATATGGTAATGCGATTATAATCTGGAGGACGTATCGGTATAATGACACACTAACATTGACAATGTTCGAATACGTTTAATCCACAGTATTCCTGCATTTACGGTAGTCAAACGCTTTGTCACCCGCTTCTGATAAATCACTGTCGTAGTTGCACTAACGTCTGATCCAGCGCGTCTCGATCTACTGCCTGAGAGCAAAATTCATGCTGCTCGCTTTACGAGCTGGCAAACTCGGTGGCAACGCTATGAACTTAGGGAATTACGCCGATCTGAAGCGTCTTGGATGCTTTGTATCAAAGGGAACGTGAAACGATTTTCCAATATCCGCATAAAAAGAACTAACACGACTTAAGTAGTTTTTTCATTAAATTTCCAAAACGGTACTTGACACAATCATTTTATCGGTTTCTATATAGCTCGGGTTATTTCTGCGCGGATAAAGAGTTGGATAGAAAAGAAACAAGCACAGAGCAAAAGGGAGGACAAAGAGAAAGAGGTGTTATAACGTTAGAGAATATTCGTGAAAGGCTGTAACGCGCATTCCCCGGATAAGAAGCGAACGGACGAACCGACAAGTTAGCAGGCGAAAGAAAATAAAGATAGAAAAGATCCTCGCGCGCGCGGGATATAGCGTATGTTGTCGCGGCAGCGTCGACGTTGTTCGTGCTTCTCGTGGGGGTTGGAAAAGTTGGGTGAAACTTGAAGGAGAACCAGAGAAGGATAAGCGAAGAAAAGAGAAACGCCGCCGTCCGACCGGGGAGAATTGGAATGAAAGGGGGGATGTATCTGGTGGTAGAGAAACGTCATAGATGTGCGGAGAATCTCGTTGTCGGTGTTAGTAAATGTTGGAAAGACGGCGGTAACGGCGCGACGGGTGACGGTGGTAGTAGAGGAGCGGTGGTGTTGGTACCGTTGGCGGCAGCGGCGGTGGTGGTGGTAGTAGTAGCGTGTCCCGACGCCGGGAAAGTTTCGCTGAGAAGCGCGCGGAGTGTGAGAACGCGGCTCGAGCGAGAGGGGTGAAGCGCGGAAAGAGGACAAGAGCGAGAACGCGATTCAGGGGTTGAGGCAGCAAGGGGGGCAGAGAATGAGAGTGAGTTTGGAGCGAGTCCGGAGGACGGCAACGCGGTGCGGGCAAGGTTTTCGTCTCCAGTTCCCGCTAAGCGGCCGACAGGATTGGAACGAACCGGCCGTGTACGCGGTTGCACACGCGGGGTAACGTGTTTGTCCAGGTAGCGTGCGCGGTGTGACGGTGGTCGTAGCGCGGTGGATGAAAAAGCACACGCGGCACGCGCTACCGACGGAACGACCGGCCCGTGCTGGCGTGTGTGATCGACCGCGGCTGGTAATAACGAGCGTAATAGCATAGTACTATGGTATTAGTGGGGGATAATTGCACGACTTTGACGCGTGCAAACTATCGCGGTACTCGAATTCACGCGTGGCACTACGTGGCCGCGAAAGACCACGAGCGAGCGAGGTCGTCGAGCGCAGACTGCGTGTCCTTCTTCTCCTTCCTACCACCTACCCTCTTCCACCTCTTACGCGCCTACCGACTTCTCCTCCTCCACCTACGTCTTCTCTTTACCTTCTCTTTCTCCTACTTTTCCTTCGCCGACTCCTACTCTCGTTACTTCATCTCTCTCTCTTTCTCGTATTCTCTACCCCTAGTGAGATATTGATTTCCCTTAGCTGACTCCCACGAGGGCAGACGGCAGGCAACCAGGTACGGCTACCTCCGCAAATAGACAGCCTCCGACTATGAGGAGGGAATCATCGCATGTATCGAGAGTATGCACTTTCCAAAGTTCGGCCGGTCCAACCAGTCGGCTGCCGAAAACTATTCGGTTTGACGCTTCCTCGCGTTGAACAGTTGTCGCGTTGCACTCGAACGATGCCGCGCTCTTCTCTACGTTCACGCCACGTGTAACTCACGTTCGCGTGACTTCCATCCCAGATGCGGAAAGTTAGGGGAAACTTGTGTAGCCGAGACTTATGAAACTGCAAACAGGGCTACGATCCAATAATAAAGTTTGATGAGGAACTGTAAAGATTTCCGATACAGCGACAACTTCTTGACGCGTATCGAAGAACGCGTAACGTCCCGTGATTCGAAACAGTCCCATCCGATGCAATTCGTGGAATCCTAATCGCGAATTCGAATTTCAAACGACCGACGAATTCTTTACGTTTCTCCATGTCGTCCGGATCTATTTATGTACGTTCGGTATCTGCCCGTCTGACCATATTCGATCCTATACTACTGGCAATCGCTCTTCTCCCGAACGAGTTCATCGGCAATCTGTTTCGCCTCCGATCAATCTCCATGGGCCGTTAAAAGTATCAGAGTTGTCTTTCAATTGCGTATTAATCTTCTCGGTTGCGCGGTTCAATTACTCCCGGAGTAAGTACTTCCCTTTCGCCGGTGGCTGCCGTTCGGGAATTCGTAGGTGTTCCAAGAAACTTTTGCGAAGTAATCCGCCATGTTGGTTCCTGCGCATTGCTGGCCGCCGGATTCGCGAGTGACTTGAAACTTTTTTATTTACCGCGTTCATGCTTACACACAGAGACAAAGAGTACCGGGGCTGGGGAATCGTTTCCCCTACTCAAACTCTGGATGGGGTGTATCTGTCAACCCCCCACCGTGGCTCGCTTGCCGCCTGCCGCTTTCCAGCAAAGTTTTCCCGAGATCCTGGAAACTAGGAGCGATGGGAGAGAGAAATGAGAGAGGGTGGGAGGGTGTATGAACCGAGGGAAGGGAGAAGCGAGACCGCTTTCGAGTAGCGTGCGCTCACGGGGATCCCGTTTCAGCGAATTCTAACCTAGTAACGAGTTTCCCCTGTCGGTAACACCGGACGCGTGCCAGCGATAAACGTGTCGCGTGTTAAGGGTGACAGTGGGGTGAGTAAAGTGGTACATGACACGAGACGCGATCGCCACGGTTACGTTCCTCACGGTGCGTCGGCTTCTTTTCCCGGCGAAACAAACCGAAATGCGTAACATCGCGAAACGCGTGAACCGAAGATAAGAAATAGTCGCGCCAGAACGTTTATAATATTCTTACGATGATCCGTAAATTACACAATCGTGTCACGAGTTTGTTTACATCGATAATCGGTTCTCGGGACGTTCAGTGGACACGTTGACATCATGCCCGACAAGTGTTTTAGACTGACGAGGATTGCTGGATCGTGACAATCAGTTTTCAACAAATACGTCATGTATGTATTACTTTTATAATTATAAGTAATTAAATAAGCGACTCTCTGATAATTTTATAGTATTGTACAAAGTTTGATCTATTTCAAGGACTGATGTCCTCGGTAAAATTGCAAAGAACCGTGTTCAAAGTTTTGCGCTGTAATTTCAAACTGAACGTACATACATTCCTTTAAACGATTTTAGGATCGTTCATATCGGCTTGTTTGTGATCCATAGTCAAAGATTGGATTGGAATGGTCGGCTAGGGGGAATGGGTGGAAAATCGTTCTCTAATCTACTCGATTCGTCGCGAGTGTCCTGGCGATATCGTGTTTCTCTCTTCTCCGGGGACGGAATAGGTCAGCTGATCATTTACCAGACACTATATAACGTCGCTTGTTGTGAGAGTATCAACGCTTTTGATTATCGGGATTCCGTGCGCGCAGACTCAATGTGAGATTAATCCTCTGTGAGCCAACCCCTTCCACCGTTAACTTACCAATACACGTTGGTCGCACGTTCGAAAGTTTCATGAGCGTCGAAAAGTTTTGCGCTCCCGTAGTTGCGCGGATTTGATCGAGAACCGGCGAACTTTGTGCTTGTACACCGGAGCAATTGTTTCTTTCGCGTTATCATAGTACGTAGTAAACCTAAAACGCGTGAATGTATGTGTTTATTAAATAATTCCTGAGTTTTTCTCGGCTACGAGTTTCACTCTACGGGTAAATATGTTCATTGTTGAAAAACTGTGTTCAATCGTTCCGCTTTTAACTTTCTCTGTTTATGATTTTAATATAATATAACTAAATATTTTCTGTCGCTTGCATTGTTCATGTCGCCATCGAATTGAATGTATCGATGCATGTACGATGTGTTTGCAGAGCGTCGCTTTAATGTAATTAGAACTTTCACTGTGTTTTTCGTGCACCTGTGCCAGAGCCGGTTTTTCATTGTACCTGTTCTTCGAGAGCTAACGATTAGCTGGATATGAATCGCTAACAGTAAATTCGAACTGGTGGATTTCGAAAAGAATGAACTGAAGCACGAGATATCGGGCATTAAACTTGACGTCGTGTTCTCGGGGCTACACGGAATATCGTACCAGCCGGGTAATTGTTAAAAATCTATGTCATACCGGAAGAATACAAAGCGTTCCTTCTGTACGAGCCAAAATGATTTTGAGGAAAAAAGCGGCGCGAATTACGCTCAGTAATTTTTCTGAAAAAGTACCTCGTATATTCCTGCGGGCATGAAACGTCATGTTTTCAATTTAACAAAATTGGAGAAGCCATACGTATGAAACGTTCACTATCCTCTTTCTCCTTCATTATAAATGAACATAAAACAGTGGTTATTCAGTGCAGAATGTCTTCTCTATAGTCAGGGATGAAAAGAGATGCACGTGCCGTGCAGTACATAAGAAGTTCTTTCACTCGTTTCGCCCTCCTTACGTTGCCGTCGAATAATAATTTGTCAACGGTGCCGCGATACTCACCGGGCAAAATTGGGAACGATTATTCGAACGCCGGGTTCTTATCTGCGGCCGGCTGCATTACGATCGCAGGAGACAATGGGCACCTGCAGTTCCCTTCTATCTTTAACACGTTATATGATATATCCTGTCCCCGTTTAGTAGCACCTGGGACGCAGTCCGATGCATGAAAAAGTAGAGAGGCACTAATTAAGCCGCTATCATTACGGTTCCGCGGTGTAATTCCGCGTTGTTGGCATTGTGCTTCGAATTCCGCCAAGTGGCTGTTGGCCGGGGGCTTTTGGAATCCTCCGGAGCGTGGTCCAAGGCTTTTCAACTCCAATTCCACGCGCGTGCGTCTCATCGTCGAGGTTGACGTCGTCGTCAACAACGTCGTCGTAGTCCAGGGATGTTTCCTGTTGTTTCCTCATGCTGCGCCTCACAAGAACGCGTGCCAGGTTAATACGATGTTCCGTTGTCGTTACTGCTTTTTCCATACGCGTGAATATTGCGTAAGGGACTCGGTCCTAATGCCTTTTATCCTTTCGCGGTGCTCCCTTTCTTCGCTGATCAAAAAGATTAAATGTGCCGTACTTCTCTAACAATAGACAAAGACAGTCAAAAAGCTCATGCTAGCGGCTAGCGTTATTATTGTATGCTTCTTAAAAGATGACTAGGAGACTATAATTTATGTATAGAGATAGAGTACATCTTCTTTTCCGATAAAGTAGCTCGTTTTGTATGATGCTAAGATAGCAGGTGACCTATAGATTCAAAATATCGAGCTGCGTTCAAGTTCTTCTGATTTGCGCCTGGCATTTAACATATATTTCTATCTCTCGGCTTCGAAGTGTGAAGCTTAATTTTTAACATCATAATTTTCTTCTGTTTTATGATTTTTCATTTACCAACGAGTGAAACACACCGTGAATTTCATTTCGCTTCCACATGTTTTTACAACAAACACGCTGCGCGGTGTTTAAAAAGCGATGAATTTATTACGTCTAACGTATACGTTCAATAAATTAAAGTTAAATTAAAAATCTGTTTAAAAAGTAAAATGTCGACGTGATGAAATTAAAAAAGTTTGTCACCATCGATCGGATTATATTTTCCTCGCAATAATAACAAATGCATGAAAATGTAGTACACTAATATTCCTTTCACGCAGGAGCCAGTGTTTGTCCTCCACGCAGTTATAAAGATGTAAATCTCGTTCTCGCGTAGAGCGTAGCGAAAGTATTTCAAACGTAATTTTATACCATTCGTAACTTCATACCGAATAGCTTTTCTGTAACTTCGATACTAAATAAAAATTGGATAAGAAATTGCTGACCTGTGTCAAAGTTCGTATATGGAACTTATTTGATGCCTCGACTTCTTTCCCAACTCTTATATCGAGGGCACGTTTACCAAAGACTCAGCGAATGAATAATAGTGACGAAACTTGAAATCATGTCGTTCGATCGATGTGTTTGCTTACCAGACCGATCGCAAATATGTATGCAGATGTGGTCTTTGTACGCATTACATGTATTTAACATGTAGTTTGAATCTAAAGGGAATGCAATCTTCAAAGTTGCTGAATTTGCTTTATGGGAACTGTAGTTGTCATAAGAGAGAAGGAGATATTACTAAGGGTATAACAAATTCGGATATTTTATCTAAATGAAGGTATAAAACGATTTTAATTGTTGATTTGCACGGTTAATTATTAAAGGCTTTATTTACCGAAAGTTGACGTCCCGGTGTGAGTAATGGGTACAATATTTCAAGCTTCGGTTACCCGTTAGTCAGTTTTCGTGCTGACTCCTGGCGAAAAGGTTTGAAATCGTTGAGGAGTTGCGGATGCCGGAACAGATGAATGGGAAGTAACGGATAGCCAATTGTGCGAGTATAATAGCCACGCAAAGCTGTGCAAGCACTGGTTTCTGGTTCGATCAATTTTCCCGTTGCAACAATAGTCAGAATCGTTTTTCTGCCAGTCACTTTGCGAAAATGGAAATTGTGTTAACATTAGCTCCTTATTTAATACGCCTGATCAATTACAAATTCTGTCTGGCACGAGGAATATCGATTTCAAGTTGAAAATTGGAAATCTCTGGCAAGCGCTGATTCTATGGATAGATAATTTTTCAATTGCATATCAAACATTCGGACTCATTTAATTGGACAGATGATTATAGATCTTAAAAGTTGTATTCTTTGTTATTATTCGTGTAGGCGTTCTCATACGAAGAATTATTGAATTATTTTTGGAATGGTGTATCCACAGAATACGTTTGCAGTTCTCAATCGTGGTATCATTATACGAAAGAATGGCGTGACCGGTTACACAATTCTCAGAGAACGCGTTTTGGAACATCACGCTTTTGGGGATTTTCTTTGCGCGGTGAGCCAATTGTTTCCGCGCACAAATCTTCGATATCACCCTGTCCCATCCGCTTCCGCTGCGTCGCGGCCGTATTGCGCGTCTTTGTTTTTCTCGTTCGCCGAAATCGAAGTATCGGCATCAGCACGGGCCGACACCGGCGCGGCGCGCGCTGGCAGGAAGTTTACGTCGTAAACTTTGGGTCTTAAGAGTGGAATTATAGTTGAGTAGAGCTCGCGCTAAGCCACGCAGTTGTTACCACGGTGAGCGCTTTAAAAGTTGGTCTTGGGTGTTCGTGCTGGTACGGGAGGGTGGGCGCGAGTGAAGAAGAAGAAGAAGTAGAAGAAGCCAGAAGAAGCGAGAACGCGCGATACGCTGGAAAGGGACACAGAGACGTGGTTAAGTTGCCAGGAAACTTTGGTAAAACTGAAAAGTTAATTTCGTCGTGTTAAATTACTCGAGCGCTCGGGCATTAAACTTGCAAAAGTTGGCTGGATGACTGAAATACGTACCTTCCGCCACCTCCCTCTTCTTATTCTTCTTCTTCTTCTTTTCTCTATGTTTTTTATCTTATCTTTCGGTACCTCTTTTCTTTGCTATTTATCGTTGCGTCATACAGATAGGTGTAACGATGGTATAATTGTTAATTGATTAGTATACAGTAATAGCATGAAATAAGACATAATAACAAATAATAGGAATACCTGTTAATTAATATGTCGACAGGGATCGGAATTATTCAATGCAAATATAGAAATTTCAGCGTGACATGGTACGTCAATCTAATCAATATAACGCATAAGTTAGTGATGGACATGCAGACTCATGGGAAACAAAATCAATTGTGTTCTTTACCTATCCTATTGATACAAATCCTCATATCATTTGATTCGAGTGCCCGGAGCATTGGATACATTAACAACATGAAAACAATCGATATTCACCTGCTACTGTCGGAAGAACGAATGCAAAAGATACACACAATAGACAATGACACGAGATATAAATCGTATGCATTCAATTGTATTTAGCTGGATTATAGTATACGTATGTCTTCATTTAAAGTTAATTTTAGTTCGGGCGCTCGTAACACAAAAAATGGAACAATTTTTTACAGTCTGCCATTGATAGGGGAAATATTTACAGCCACAAGCTGTAGATAGATGTACTTAAAAATCTTCGTTACGTGTTAATGCATACTTAAACATTAACTTTAGTTAGTAAAAAGAACGTAGATTCTTGAAACAACTTTCAAACAGTCTGCCTTGTGAAATTTCGTCAACTTTACGCTAACATTAGCCTAAATTGAGCTTGGCAGATTGTAAAAAATTGTTCTTAGACGATTGTCCTTATACGATTTAATTGCTAACTAACATAAGTAAGCTTTATTCTTGTACTGGAGAAAACCATCTGCCAATAAGCTTTTCATGGATCGCGCAATCTTGTCTTGTGCTCAAATAAATGGCAGACTGTTTGAAAGTTGTTTCAAGAAACTACGTTCTTTTTGCTAACTAAAGTTAATGTTTAAGTATGCATTAACACGCAACGAAGATTTTTAAGAACATCTATCTACAGCTTGTGGCTGTAAATATTTCCCCTATCAATAGCAGACTGTAAAAAATTGTTCCATTCTTTGTGTTACGAACGCCCGGTCTATTTGTAATAGTGTATCACGAGAGAAGGCAAAAGAACGAATTTTATAATTATGAACGAAAACTCATTTTAAAACACAAGTGTAAGTTAACGAGTTCGTTTGTTGGAAATAAAATTACATGAAACGCTGCCCAGTAATCGTCGCAAATAATATGGATTATTAACCAAATGTAAAACGCGTATAAATAGTAACGTTGATGGCTTGATAACGTTATGTATGAAAAGCGTGGAAATTAGATGTATTCGCTGAAATCGATAATCCATTATTTAATTCCCGTATTCCAATTGGAACGATGTTCAAAGAAATGTAGCGGTAATATACACGTTGTACATCTGTAGATTGATCAAAGCGAAGTAGAGTGGAAAAGGACGGAAAAGGAATGGGACCTTGCTGTTTCATTGAAAATTTATTTCGTCATCCTCTTTATGGTAGGTTTTGGTTTTACTATCGTGGTCTGATAAATAGCTGACGAGTGTTTATTAAAAATTTCTCTAAAAATATCATCGAGCGCAACATCCAATCTGTGTGCTTACGTTTCTTGTACGAGAACAATTTTAATATCGCGTTGCCGCTAAATTGAAATGAAACGTTTTCGTAAATATTACGCTGTTGTACCAGCGTTGCATGTGGGAGTGAATAATCAAATCCATATTGTTANAATGAAATCCAAGTAGGAATGATTATTTAAAAAAAAAATAATTTTTATTTTTCCGAGGTTTTGCCAAGGAGTCTGTCTGCAATTATCGACTATGTTTTAAGTCCCATTGGGCCCCATTCGCTGTCCCAACGATTACACAAGCGCTCCTACTTTTTGATAGTATCTCCTCGCTGTCTCAACGGTAGCTAAAAAATAAGTTTGCTCGGAACATTATCAGATTCTTTTTATGTTAATGGTAGTTAAACTGCAGTTGCTGTTGATATACTGCTTCTACATTTAAGCAATTTATCACAATAACTGCGCGAAACGCACGTAAACGTTACCAGAGAAGTTTTCCAATTAATTACTGGCACGGCTATTAGCCGCCAAGTTTTCGGTCTAAGAAAGCGCGAACTTTCTCAAATAACGATGATTGCGCGTAGCTATTTTATTTTCACATGTTGTTATTGAAGATGCAAAAATCAATACCCATTTCATCTCTACTCCATGCAAGCCGTATAAATGAACATTTGATTTTCCTACACGTGTATAAAATATTGGCTTCGAGGTAATTGAATTAAAATGTGAATAGGAATCAAACAAGTATTACTTCCGGAAATAATAATTGTGATAGATATGTATATTAACTGAAGTGCCTTCGCGTTCGACTTTTTGCTTTAATCAGTTTACATTAAAAAAAAGAAAGCAGCAGGAACGAGTTTCAATTTTTATTACTATTCGTCTGATGAAGAATGACAGAGTGTGCTGCGTCATTCGCAATGAAGTGCAGAGTTGCAAGTCAGTTCCTTTTGTACGAAAGGGTTAAAAAATTGTATGTTCTTGAGTTTCTTACGATGGAATAAAATACTGGTTAGAAATGATTACATTGTTCCTGAAACGTTGTCGATACCATTCTTTTCAATAAGTTCATAAGCAACGGTTAATCACAGTTAATTAAGGCCAATTGTTTTCGAGAACTCTTTCAGCATTTTTATTCCAATTGGGCCGGTAAGGTCACGGTCGTAATATTCATCGACACCGTGCGTAACTGTAAGTGCACTTGGCCGAGAGTGTGTGTGGACGACCTGGCGCGTGCGTAAACATGCCGGAGAACAAAGTTTCGCGGCGGGGTGAAACCACCCCGTCGTTGCTGCTGCTGCTGCTGCTGCTGGCCGACAAGCGCGCCGTACAGCAGCAGGATGTGCTAGTAACTTTAAATGCACGTACACACGCTCGTCGCGATGTCCCCGGTTCAAGCCATCGAGAGACATTACTTTTTGTTCGCGTCCTCCACGCGCAGCCGGGCAAAATCGTATCCTTTCTACCGAGTGTTTGTAATTCTAAAACCGCTTACGATGATGACAAAGTAAGTCCGTTCCCTGAAGTGGCTTAAAGATCTCTTGGAAAATAAGTTTCAACTTGTACGATAAAAATCGTCTCTTCTCTCTTTCATGGATGCTTTTTATCGGAGATATTCGTCCGGTTCAGGAAAATATAAGAAATCCATTTCACTGTCCAGGGAAAGAGTCTTCTATGATTTCCAATTCCGAAATACTTTCGATTATTTACTAACAATAAGTACAGATAAATTGCAGTAGATGCAATGTAATGAAATATCGATTTAAAGAGAGGACAGTTAATTAATTATTTTATTCTCATCGTACTATACTGCATTCGTACGTGAGAATTATAATAAAGAATGCAGACATTCGTATGAATGATGGTTTGAGCAGGAATAGCGAGTGTAAACGTTGTAGAGAGCATGTGCAGTGTGTAGGTTTATATCGTGGTCAGCGTCGCGGCGCGGCGCGCGTCATCTTCTGTCTTCCTCTCCTCCCGTTCGTCCCTCTTTGTCTCGGAAAAGTTTCCGGTGATGAGCTTTGTTGGTCGTTTCCCCTGCAGGACGGAAAAGTTAAATGCGAAAGTTTTATCCGATATCCAGCTCCACGACGGCGGCGGCGGCGGCGCGGCGCTGGAAAAGGGATCCACTACGGGTACCGTTAAAATTTGGATACCCACAGTAATCGTAATGTTTATATTATAACTTGTACTACGCTCTATACTACGCTTACAAGTAGTAGCGTAACGGTGAAAATTACTGCGCGTATAATATCCCTGCGAAATTTTATTTTCGTCTGATGTTAATTTTCCGAAATGTTGATAAATGTTTTTAGTACAAATAACGAGTAGAGAAATTGATTATTGATCGAATTAACGATGGTCCTAGCGATACACTGCGACGATCTTCATTAATACATTATCGAAACCATCCACAAATTTCGTTACGCAATTAATTTAATGAATGATACATGCGGTAATTATGTTATTAGAAATGTATGTCTACTCTTAATTAATGCATTAAACGCCCACCGTTTGATATTATATTGATTTTGTGGTATTATTTAATATGTATACGTCAATGGTTTATATTTTTGTTTTCCGGTTGCGATAGAATGGCGTCAAAGAAAACGAGGCAAAACCATTCTATACAGCACCTGCTAGAGCTGCCGAGCAACAGAGAGACAAAATTGCCGCTATATTCCGTGAAGGAGTCGACCCAAACGCCACTCGTTCCAACCCCTCGTCAGGTCCCGGTAACCGTGCTGCATCCCTCGCCGAAAAAGGTAAGTGAGGCATGAATAAGTTATCAAAAATCTTTGGTTGTTATTCAATTTGCGAAGTCATAAAGCTGAATTACATTTTCTTACTTTTGCTGCGTCGACCGCGGCAATTTGCAATTCTTTGACGAAACGCGGAATTAAAGTTAAGTTTGTGCAAAAAGATAGCACGTATTCATAGAATACGTTCTCGCGGGAAGATTAAAATATAAAATGAATTACTTCCATTGTTCAGGTACTATATAAGTAGATCGTTTCTCACAGTGTTGCGTTCTTTTCTATGTAAATCACAATTATAATACATTATACAAATCATTTGCATCGCAATGTTCAGTAACAGGATGTTTGATTTTTTAAGTTACGATAGATGGGATTAGAAATTTTTTTGTGAATTTTTCTTTTTTAACGATACTCCATAAAATATTGGATAGTACATAACGTCAATAATTCCATTACTTCGGTTTTACGTTGATGAAACATATTTCCCTGAATAATTTTTTTTAGTCAAATCAATTGAAAATGTGTATAAAGTTTTATCTACTTTCTTAATTGGAAAAGTTCTCTTTCACCCGGGAACGTAGAAATTATTCTTGATATCATCTCAATGAAAACATTTGAGAGTAGCACCGTATCAAAATATGTTTTTTACAAAACATGTTTTCATATCATAGCTTCTACGTAGTAGTAAAATAAACAGTGCTAAATTAAATATTTGCAGTTGTTAACTTGCGAGCTATCTTTTACATTTATTGTATTTAAACGTTACGAAGTATCGCGGAGTGTACTTTCTGTTTCCGCGAAGCAGGTTCGATTACACGCGACATTAAACTCTTATAAAATGGATGAAGAGTGACGAGGTGTAAGATTTCTGCGCGTAACAAAAAGAGAGGGACAAATGAAAATGAGATTGACGAGATACGTAAAATGAAACCATTGTAACTGTATGAATTGCTGACGTTTTACTTTACCGTGGTGGTTTTTTTATTGATCATACGGCACGTGGGACGTTGTTAATATTCGTATAAATGTGGACGTAAGCTGAAACCCGTGCAGCAGCGGACCGGATAATTTTCAATTCGTTTTAACCAGTTGATACATCACAATTACTATTGTAGATCCTGCTTAACTTCGTAGTATTACTTGAAAATTAAAATATTCGCCTTATTAATAATGTTCATTATTAATAATAATCATTTATTTTTGATAGACTTCATATAGAATACGTATTGAGAAATCGTGTGCTGCAAAATCTTCTTACATACTTCCAGACATGCGCTAAGATATCTATTTTGGTTTGATCGAAAAACTTTTTCCTACCCCACCGCGCCGTATGATTACTCTTTTGTTTCTTTTTCCATCCATTTTATCCGACAGGGAGTCATCAAGGAGGGATTCGCGTAACTCGGTAGGGGAGGCTTCAGCTTTCCTGTAAAATAACGATTTTTAAAGTTTCTTGAGGAGTTTCGAACCTTTTCCCTACTGAGATTCGCCGACGAAGTTCGCGAAGTTTGAACTGCGTAATTGGAGAGGAAAGGAATTTCCTCTAACCGTACAAAATTGTCCGCACGTTCAATACTTAAATCCGACGATATTGTAGGTCGTTTCGTGAAAATCCATTTACGTTCGTATTTTTTAATAAGCTGCACTCGTGCATGCTTATGTTCTGAAGTTACAACAACTTATAAAAATGTTGTTTGAAACATTTATTATTTTCGTTATAAACTTTCATCTCTACTGAAGTCTATTTAACGATATTTTTATAAAAATCGCTATATTATTTGGACTGTTGATAATTAGAAAATTTTTGAGATTGTTATCATTATCATAGAATTCGTCCCTTAAAGCATACTGCGTAAAATTCACGACTAGAGTAGTAATACCAGTCAGTAGTAACAGGCGTTATATGGTCAGACATCGGCTGTCGGTTGATCATTATAATGTCTCACTGTGTTAAGAAATTAATGAGTGATATGTAAGTAAATCTTGCATTCCTTTTACAAAATTCCTAATCCAAAATGAAATCTTAAACTAATCAGACGATTTAGGGTAAATGATTACCGACACTGTTATCGGGTACGTTCTTATCAGCGATGGTTATCCTCCACCTCGTGGATATCTCATCCAGGGGTGGTTTTGGATCTACCCTTGCTATCGTACCGGCACAAGGTCACATTTATCGGTAAGGCAGATTACCGAGGGGTAGGTATTTTCATCCCGTAGAAAATATCCACCCTTCAACGGTGTTACCGACAAATTGTAAGTTAGATGTGGAATTACTTTGAATTGGTACATGTTCAAGAATCGATTTTAAATAATGCTTAAAGAATATTGCACATTACAATCTTTGAATTTAATTTATTAAATAAAGATAGGATTTGTAATCCTATTATTGCTGCAGTGACTTCATGTCTAATTTGTAAGCATCATTATAAAATATAATACTGGAGGCTCTTTTATTATACATTTGAACGACATTTTGATTTCAAATTTCCAAATTTTGCATTTCATATTTTCTAACTTCGTTAAAAAAATATTTTCATTCTGTAGTTAATGACAGAGATAGGTCGCGTTTGTTTAAATTTTCTGAATGACGTTCTATTCTAGACTATAGCACGTGCTTTATGGTAAAATAATTTGCTATTGAAATCCTATGAATGGGACCACGGCCGAGGCGTCTTGAGCATACGCAAGGCAGTGGGTGGAACTGAATTTATGATAATTGCATAAATCAGAGCTTTCCTCCACAATAATCATAATCTATGGGGATAGTTGTACGAAGTTAGCTATTTAACCTACGGCGCGCATAAGGAAGGAGGCCAAGGGGTTCTGTGAGACTGCGAATAAGATAAATTCAACGTAAGATCAAATCATCGGTGTACGATTAGATCTGTCACCTAATAGATTCTTGTTTCTCACGTTCAAGGGCCAAACCGATACAAAAAAATCAACGCTCATTTAAGAGTCCTCTGTTCATGAATAGTGATCGATTAAACTAAGACATATTTGATTTATTTTTGATATATTTTTGTGCAAACTTGCAAAATACAAGTAATAAAGATATATGATTCGAGAAATCAATAAAAACGTAGAGTCTCTTGAGCCTGGAGAGAACATCCAAAGAGGGTGCCACCAGTATTGCTACCCCTCGCAATTCAGCTCACTCAATTCTTTATATAAGAATTAATGAAACAAATTAAACTGCAAGTAAATTAATACTATTATTAAATATAAAGAGGGTAATTTCGTATTCAATAATTTCGCGATATAGATAAAAGCTTTATTTCAAAAAGTTTTCCATTTTAAATTTTCATTCTTCCTTCCAAACCGAGAATAATTTTGTGATTGTGAAACAATTTTTTGACATGGATTGATTTTTATTTCTGCAAGATGGTATTGCTTTGAAAGTAGAGCTGGAAAGACGAGGCACAGTAACTTCGTCGAGCTGTCATACTGCTGATGCACATGATCGGGGTTGGAACGAACCCTCCAATTCTCTCTCGGTGGGAGTAGCCACGCGGTTGAGTGAATTTTTATGAATGAATGCGCGAGGATACCTAGATCCAAGGCTTTGGAATGCGCACCCTGTTTTCACCCCTGTACCTATATTTACGTCAGTGACTCTCAATTTGAAGTTCTCGTAACCCATAAAACCTATAGGGAACGACTTTGACGTTAAAACGCACCCCTTTAGGGTAAATAGGCTTAAAATAAATCGAATCGTCTTTTGATCATTCGTTTCGTTCCGTACACTTTTATTCACACTTTAATCTACCAACCTCTTCACCCACTTATATACAATTTACATGTACGATGTACCAATCTTTTAAATTCTTCCTATTATCATGCATTCATCATATACAGGGTGTCCCAGAACTCCCTTTACGCCCGAAAATGAGGAGGAGCTGAGATGATTTTAAACAACTTTTTCCTTTGCGAAAAAGTTGTCCGAGGCGTGGTTATTGAGTTATTAACAAAAATCCCCGCCCAATCAGAGCGCGACTATACAAGGCGGGCAGGAGCGCGATAACCGCCTCGTGCGTTGCCGCGCCCGTATGTCGCGCTCGTGACGAGAGCATAGGATTAAAGAAATGTTGCATGCAAAAACGAACTAACAAATTGGTTAAATATCAAAAGAAAGAAAGGGATTAGTCGTTACTTACGTTCACTGAACGAAAGTAACATACTGAATGAAATAACTAAGAAATTTACAAATTACAGAGTACGTAAAATTATGAAAAATGCGAAAAAAATCAGAATTGAACTTACTTCTTCGTTGGTCAGTGCATCTGCTCGTCGAAGATCGTCAATGGGTCAATGGGTCGACCTTCGGCATTCGAAGATAGGACACATGGCTCGCAGCAGCTGATGTTTGGAGTAAGTCAATGACCTGCACCCGTCGATTTTTTCCTTATCATCACGATCATTGTCACTTTCCCACTGGCAAATTTTTACAAAACAAAAATTGTCACTTTTACACTTCCCAAATTCACTGCCACTTTTCATTTTACAAATCCACTGTCACATTGCACTTTGCAATTGAAAATTTGTATACACGTTTTCATTTTAATTCTTAGCTCCGATCGGAATACTGTTCGCGGAACAATTCCACTACCGTTCTCGGATTCTAACTCATTTACGCGTAAATAACGAACATATTAAAATATTCCGTGTTCGTTAAGGCACGCACCGTTCTGTTTAGTAACGCAAGGCGAAGCCAACTGATCGCTCGCTCGAAGATTTTCTTCCAGGAAATTTTTCCCCACTCAGCAGGATGTGTATGACAATTCGGTCTTGGCATCTGGTAAGTGTAAGTCTGAGGACTGTCTCTTGTCATCGGTTCGAGTGTTCTGCACGTGAAGAATTTTTAAGGACGACAAAGAAACGAAGGTCGGGTTTAGTTGAAAAATACAAACACATTTTCTCTAACGAACTTATCCCTCGAGTGGGGAAAGATTTTCTGGAAGAAAATCTTCGAGCGAGCGATCAGTTGACTTCGCCTTGCGTAA